TGACCCAGGCAGTGCCCCAGTGGTGCTCGGTAAAGGTATTGACGCAGCCCCAGGCGGCGATGACCACGCTGTCAAAGAACTCCTGCGACCGCCCTGTCCTGCGCAGCCACATCTGACCGACGAGCAGGAGCAGGGTCAAGAGAATGCCGTAGGCGATGAAGGCCGAGCCCATGATGAAATGCGCAGCGCACTGTCCGAGATGGTCGCCCTGGCAGAAACCAAGCGCCGTGATGCCACCGAACAAGATCTGCACCCAGGAGATTACAGGCATCGCCTTGCCAAGGACGCCGTGGAAGGGGCGGGCGATGCGACGGATGCGGCCGTGGATTCCCTTTTCGAGATGTAGTCGAAGGTAGACACCGAGGGTCACCTGGGCGGCGAGGATGAACATGAGGAGATTCGCGAACTTGGCGTGAACATTGTTGTGAATGAATTCGCGTCCGCCGTGGGCATGACCAATGAAGTAACCGACAACAGCGATTACGGTGCCGAGAACCTGGGTCGGGACGTGCCATCGGTTTTTGGTGATCTGCAAGGAACATGATCAGCGTGCGAACTTCATGATGGGATAGTTGGAGGGAAAGTACATACTCCCAGCACCATTCCGATGGGGAAGATGATGCCAAAGGCGAGCATCATGGTGAAGATGTGAACCCACAATGTCGAGTCCTGTCCCGTCAGTCAACTTGCCGTCTCGGTATATCCAATACGCTGTGAGTCCCTACAATTGGCTCTGGCGAGACGGACTCGCCCTCGGCGATGTGGCTGACGCCATGATCGTGTCCCAGCGCCATGGGAAGAAATGCAGCGATTGAAGCAAACTGTAGAATGCGGGACGGTATCATCGAAGGCAAGGCCATGCTGCTCAAAGGCCGTGATGGCCTGGTGGTGGACAAAGTCATGGCGGCGTTTCGGGAAAGGGGGGCCCGGGCCCTTGGTCAGGATCGTGTAGCAGGTGCCGTAGCGCGGACTCGATCGATGGAACGGCTTTTCGGGAGGAGCCGAAGTGGTGGTTGGATGTAGCCGAGGCGCGGCTGGCCGTGTGCGATGGTGTTGATGGATTGATTCTAGGTTGTCGATGGCTTCGCGGATCAGTTGCTTTTTGCAGGCGTCGCGAGTAGAGCAGGGCAAGGGAGAGACAGACTTGTCCCTCGGAGGCTTCGGGCGCGCCTGGCTGGCGCTTCTTTCCGTTCGCCTATCTCGTTCGTGTCATCAGCTGGCGCGGCTGTGGTACGTACCCCATCTGCTGCAGCATGTCAATTAGGGGGTCCATGGTTGGTCCAGGCTTGTCGTGTTTGGCGGGGCCTCCAAGATCCGGCGCCCACTTTCCGTCATTTCCTTCAGTTAACCTTGTCATGCACCACGCCCCTTTTCACTTGACGATTCGGCGAGGCATACGCATGGAACAACTCGTTTTCAATTTGCGGTCAATTGTCTTCATGGTGCAACTCGGTTTGGGCAACTCTCTGCATCGAGCGGCCACGCTACGATGCCAATCATAGGAGCCATCCGTTGCCATGACACGAGCCCTTTCGCTTTCGCCAGAACTGTTCTTCCTCTTCTCAACACAGTCGGTCGCCTCATTTGCCTGCACGAAATCCTGTGAAAAAGTTTAAATAAATTTCCGGGACGTAGCGTCATGAACCGCAAGGTCTTTACTTGGTTCGATTGCGAAGCATAGCCTCTGGGAACGCTTGCCGTCCTTGGTAGAGGTTGATGAAAGGCTCACCCATTCCCGACTGGCGCGTACGTGGTAAGTCGAAAATTAGGTGTGAATCGACCGTCGCTGTTACACATTATCATGTGATCAATCCCGTGGAAGCATACCGGATAAGCGTTTATGACAAGAATCAGTTCAAGCATCAATCATCCTCATTGCCATGCCTCAAAGCCATGAAACTACTCCAAGGCAATCTCGTGGACATGATACTCGCTTTGAAGCGGGCTGTGACTATCATGACCATCATAGACAGTGCAATGAGTTGACTAGCGACACAGATACAAGTCTTTACATTGGTTTGAACAACTTCAATTCAACAAGGGCTCATGTGAGACCCCTAAGTGTCGAATTAAGACGATGCAGTTATACGCAGGCGTGTTAAGAACAACATGACAAATTGGCGAGCCTTGGTCAGCCAACGAGTTGGCCTTGATTTGACCAGAAAACACAAGGCACTAGCCATTCACCCAGCGTTATATTGACATGAGCAGTGTAGACTGCTGTAGCCAATTGAGCTTTTCCTGCAGTGACTTGCCATTTCGATTTGTTTATCCGGATCGTAGCCTTGAGTCAAGACTGGACACACGTTCTTCGTTCCTAAAGCTTGAAGTATGAGACCCTGCAAGCATCGACATAAAGCCTAAGGCCTTTGATTTGGCGAAATATTCGCCATCTGCAAGGTGTAATGTCACGCGGTGCACGAAGGCTTGAGCTTTTCAAATGGAGGGTTGGCAACACTATCGCAAGATACTACGTGTCATTCTACTCATCTCCCAATAGTCCACTTCGACCTCTACCCAGAGATCTCATCTTCACGTACTCCAAAATGAGGTACAAAACACGCTGTGTTTCTTGCGCTGGCAATGATAAGCAAATGGCTGTTTAGTTGCGTCTAGAACTCAACCCCGCCACCTGTATCACCTGTATCTGCACAACCAGCCACACCCACTCTGACTGCATAAGCGACGCCTCTCAGCCTGCTCTAACCTGATATGTCGCTTTTCTCGCTTCACACTGGCGGATTGAGGAACATGGAGTATCCGTCTCCGAACTTTCTACACCTAGAATCGTTTTGTTCCTCCGCATACCTCATTCTCACGAAGGATGGTGCCACTCATGCGAGTCTTCGACATGTCTCATCCCGTCGACCCGTGTCAAGATGCGCCAAGTCCAGAATGCTAACATATATATCCACGAGGTGCTTGAAGAGGGCCCTCGCGCGTGCAATGCCTTGGGCCTGCCACCTTTTTTCGCGAGCTGAGAATGCGCGTCCAAGCTTTCCGCCGCACTTTTGTGCTGGTGTTCAGCATTGTTTTTCCTTTGGTCGTCCTCCTGCAAGTAACTTGGATGTACCGGGAATCATTGCCTACGATATCACTTCGAAGACAAAGCCTTGTCGAGACAAAATTGCACTGTTATGGCGATGACGACTGCTTCCCCGATATCCGATCAATGAACGCATCGGACCTGAACACCAACATCAAGATATGTCAGAACCAGCCCGAGAAGCGCTATGGGGCTCAACTCCGGGTGGCGACGGTGACAGCGCAATTTGGGCAGCCGGAGGACCACTACAAGCGCGCCTTGCGCACACATCTGCAACACAGTCTGGTGCATCAGTCTGAAGTCCACGTCCTCTGTGCCGAGATTGTGGACGACTTGTGGAACAAGCCGGCTTTTATTCTCGAGCTCCTTCTATCGGAAATGGAGAAGCCTGAAGACGAGCGCCTTGAATGGCTATTCTGGGTAGACAGGGACACCATCATCCTCGACAACTGCCGATCGGCCTCAAGCTTCCTCCCTCCGGCAGCAAAATGGCCTCCGAGTGGAGACACTCAACAGGCTGATGGAGTTGAGCGGCCCGAAATCAACCTTGTTGCGACGAAGGACTGGAATGGTCTGAATAACGGCATCTTCCTCTTGCGCGTCAGTCGCTGGAGCGTTGACCTGTTTGCGGCCATTTTGGCACTGAGATATTTCAGGCCCGGCGTGGAACTTCCTTTCACAGAACAAAGCGCGATGGCCATGCTGATGCAGGAATTCCAGTTCGCGAAACAGGTTGCGTGGGTGCCGCAATGGTGGTTCAACGCATACCCGAGGCCGGAGGAGGACTTTGACGAGGCGAACCTTGAGTTGCTGGAGGAACATCACGCCAGGAGGGGAGACTTCTTGGTGCACTTTGCTGGGTTGGGCAACCGAGACGAGGCGATGCCGGTTTGGCTGGGCGTTGCCGAAGACGAGTCAAGGCAATGGAGCGTTGGTACACCGCTGAGGGATGTTGACAGTGGTATCAGGCAGTATTGGAGGGGTAGAGTGAATGCTGTTCGAAATTGATTAGTATGAATTCCAAGATATCTTCCCGTTACGATTATCCTCAGAAAAGATCCGTGTGCTCTCGTAAGCTTTCTTTAAACACATATAGGCTTCTGATCTGTGCCTGACCACCATTTGAGTCGATAGGTCTGCGTCGGGTTTCTTCGTATTAGTGCGTAGTTAAGGGTAGAGTGAAGGGGTCTGATATAAGGTCCGCAGGTAGTTAGATAACGACTTGTTGCAGCCACAGGATTGCGGAATACTAAACACTCAAACCCGCCCTCCCCCAGCACCCCAGCCCACACGATCAAGTCAATATGAATACCAGAAGCACTATAATCCAGTACATACGACCATACCTACTGGAAACCTCGGGATCCCGTCCGCTCTCCCCTAGATAAACCAGTAAAGGCCGGACTAGTAGTCGGGTGGGTGACCACCGGCGAATACCTGGTGTTGTATGTTTTGCAATTTTGCATTGCTTGTGTGCAAACTTGCCTGGCGTTGAACGCCAGTCCAATGTGCGGGATCAGTCTTTGGTCAAGCCTGCGTGCTTCGCGCTTGATTCGGCGCCAGTGCATATCTTGCAATCACCGACATCTCAATCACCTCTTCAGGCCAGCGTACGGCTTGGCTCCCCAAAAGATTGGACTTCCCGTTCGTTTTTAGGAAGGCGGCACGTGTGGCCGTCTGTTCCTCTGGATCTTTCATGTCGGAGGTGATCGCTGCGGTTGTCAATCGCAGTCGCATGAGATTTTTTAATAACGGGAGGTGCTCATTGCCCGGAAGTGGGATTACATTAAGTTTTACACTACGTCGTCGCTCATCTCGTCATTGTGGACCCTTCTCATCATAGACCACGGCATGCTTCTCTCTGCAAAAGCCGATGTTCGGGTATGTAAGGCTCGCTATGCAGGCCGCGCCTTGATTGGAGTCAAGGTCCCTAAAGAATTCTTGTTCCTCAAATCTAGCAAGTGCCCTCCTCGCCCAAGCCAATCTCGGTCGCAGCCAGGAGGAACTCCATGAATCCAGCGCCGGTTTCAAGCGCGTTCTGGTGGTAAATCTCGCTCGTGGGGTAGAAAGCGCAGCTGGCCGCCGTGTTGCCGAAGCCGAACTCGAGGCAGTAACCGTGAAGCTTGTTGAGGCTGGGGTCGATCTGGTGGCGGGCCCAGGCATAGTCATCCGAGGCACCGGAGGTAGGGTACAGGTAGGCGGCGGACATGGCCTCGTAGTGGCGACCAGTGGCGGCGTCCATGGCGTTGACGGAGCGCATGGCGGCGAACGACTTGTCGGACCAGTCCTTCTGTGTGATGTACTCACCGTAGACGGCGCCGCTCTGAGGGTCGTCGGGCATGAGGCCGCGGACGTTGTCGTAGGTCGAGTTCAGGAAGTTCTGCTCGGGGTGACGGCTCTGAAGCTCATCGATTCCGCTTGCGTACAGCCTACGTTCGGCTGGGTTAGCAAAAACATGTACAATCTCAGAGGAACGATTTAGAGTAGGCACTCACAGAACACCAGCATAGGCGTGGACATCCATGTACCAACGCAAGTTCTCGTGCTCATCCATGACCCACTTGATCGCCTGGGTCTCGGCCTCGGAGAAGGCAGACGCGCCCTGGTAGGTCTGGGCACGTGGGTTCTTCGAGGCGACGTTGGGGCCGACCTCCGGGTGGAACTTGTTCAGGAAGTCAAAGACAACATCAAAGTTACGGTTCAGGTCAACGCCAACGGAAGCAGGGTTGCCAGCCACGGCGGCCGCGGGGTTGCGGTTCTTCCTCCAGCAGGTGTTGGTGCTCTGGTCCCAAGCGACACCATCAGGGTTGCTCTGTAAGTCATTGGTTAGATCCAAATTGGTGTATCTCATCGCATGGAATTGCTCTAGGACGGCATTGACTTACAAGAGGGGTGAAGACGATACCCGCGGCAAGGGCACGACGCACGTCGCAGTTGGTGTAAGTGCGACCGCCGTACTGCAGGCCGGTGTTGTGCTTGTTGGCATACAGCAGATCCGAGATGAAGTAGATGATGTTGTCGGAGGAGCCGCGCTCACGGGCGTGTATGGCGCCGTTGAAGTAGACGTGGTAGCTGGAAGAGCAGTTCTTCTGGCCACCGACCTTGGCACCAACAATCTCGGCGCCCTCGTACGTCTTGACAGGTGCGACGAAGGACTCGAGATCGTACTCGTCGACGAGAGCCTGGACGGCAGCTGTGATCTCGCCGACATTGAGGAGGGTCTCGAGGTTGGTGCCGGGAGGCTGAGTGCCGAGACCGCGGGGAACGGTGCCGTTCGCGAACCGGTTGCCAGTGCCAATGGCTAAGCCTGTGTTTCCGGTCTGGCGCTTAACAACGGCCTCGCCGCCATTGGCAAGTTCCTCGGGCAGGATGCAGGCCTCGGTGAGAAGGGCGAGCGAGGCGATGGCGCCGGCGGTGGCAAAGGTCTTCATGATGGGCAGCGGTTCTGGACAGGAGGACACTGGTGGGACGAGGAACGAATCAACAGATCAACGGGCCAGGACAGGCAGTGCCGAGATCCATTGTAGCGGATCGGTCCTTCTTATACGCGTGCTGGGGAGACACAGACGATCGTATGCCAAGGGTTCATTTCAGTGGCGGCCCTCCCCGTTTGTTGGCATGCAGGCTCAGTGGCATCTACGACAGCCCGTAGCGTCGCACGAAAAGTGATCTCAGAGGGCAGCCTGGCGACAGTGCGACAGGTCGGCGACGGCTACCGTAGGTCTGACAAGGTTAATTGGGTCTGCCGAGCCGGGCTTGTTGACTAGAGCTCATCACTGGCGTCACCGTACCGTATGGCGTTTCTGTTTCGGGCAGCTCGATAGCTATGGAGCAGTTCAAGGTCGTATGGACGGGTGTTTGCGACGTGCAGGCTCCCCCTGCTGGGCAGAATCCAGAATGCGCGCATCGCGGAATTACATTGCAGCTGCTGGACCCAGTCGCGTCCCGTGCCCTGCAATCTGCTCCACGCCCGCGTGTCCTAGCCTTGAGATGCGGGGATCAAGTGCCGTTTCGGGCAGGTCGTTGTGCTTCTCCATCTCTACAGGGGTTCACGAAGAATCAGCTCGATAGTGTAGTGTCGAGGCAGTCGTTGCCTTTGCAGGTGGAATACGGCGAGTCAATGGCCAAAAAGAAGAACAGCTCTTCTGTCTTTGCAACAGGAATGCTGGGCATGGGCGATGAGCAGTGCAAATCATGTCTTCATCCCATGGCTGATCAGCAGCCATGGAGCGCCGTCGAAGACTGGACAAGCACAGGCCAAAGTCAATTTGCACAGCATGTCTTTGTCTCGGTGCCTTGCCCGAAGCCCCTTCAGTGGGCTCCATGAAATGAACAACTCAATGCCTCCGCCCAGCCTCCGATAAGGATGTTCTTCAGAGCTTCCATTTCAGCGGCCCGCTACCTACCAGGAACTTCCTAGCCCACATCATGCAACCAAGATAAGGCCCCCGCCACCATCAAGAACTTCGATTGGATGGTGTGTCAGGCACCAGGGGAGAAGACGACCTCGTCAAAGTCAGGCAGGTAGGCTTGATACACCGGTGCTCCCGAGATGCAAAGCCCACGTTCCCGTGCCGCCCATTGCTAGGTCTTTTGGGAAGAGCTATGACAGTACGCCCTAACGAGGATCGAAACCCGGCCAACGATCTGCACTGTGTGTGCCATGTGAATACGTGCGAGGATCTCAGGACGCCAATATATGTCTCACTGGCAAAGTTCTGCCAGTTCTACGCGCCATACCTCAGGCATTCGAAAATACCCAATAGGCACATCACGACGACACCGGTTGAAAACGCTAGCGGAGGTGACTGTATGTGCTCTGTATTTAGGCGACGGGGACGCGGTGTGGTTAAATCTGGTGCGACTAGGCATTGATGCTCGAATTTTGTAGATACCATAGCAGCACTCCATCGTAATGAATGGTACATGGTGTTGCCGTCGATTACAGATGAGTCGGCCTTGCCGAGATCTTTGCCTGTCCGGTTTGCCATTTCCGCACACTTTGTGGTTGCACTCCTGAACGCAATCGAGCGCTCAATCATGCTGGCCTCCACCAAAACAGTCTCGCCCAAGTATCTGAAGGTGCCGCAGCACGAATCGATAAACCGCATTCCAATTTCGTCACTGCTCATTTGTTAGTAAGAACACGGACAAGTAGAATGTTTGGGCGCACATCATTATGATCAAAGCGAGCCCCAGGCTTGATGAGTACAATCCGGGACTCGCTTCCCTCTCTACAAGCGCTCCCGTTTCACGAAGAGCGTTCAAGCGATATCGTCGACCTCCATATCCGTTGTTGTTGCAGCAGCCTTCTTCCCCTTCTTCGAGTTCTTCGATTTCTTGGACGCCTTGGGCTCGACAGCATCTGAAGTATTCGAGTCAGCAAGTGCGCAACATATCCGGTCAGAGAACAATCCCACCTTTCATCTCAACCTCGGCTTCTTCCTCCTCATCCTCCGCGTCAACGTATTCCTCGTCCGCCTCTTCGTCCTCGTCCGAGCCCTCAACTTCCCCTTGTTCCTCCCGCCTCTTCGCAGCGTGTGCCAGTGCCTTCTCGACCTTGCGCGCCTTCTTGCGGCTCAGTGCTGCCTGCGGTCCGCTGTTGGGAAGTAGTCCAGGGCGGGCGCCGCGCCTGACATCGCGCTTTGCGACGCGGTTCGCATTGGCGAGAGCAACGCGCGCCTGCTGGGTTTTGGCCTTGCGGGCTTTGGCGTGGGCATGTGGGCGAGAGGTGCCTGCGAGGTTCTTGGCGGAGGGAGCCATGGCGTCGGGTGGTTTATGAGTAAACGTTTTCGAGTGGTCTCATCGACAGAGAAGGGTGATCGCGACGTCGAGGAGCCTAGTTATAGAAGCTGAGGAGGTTCAGAAAGTCGATTTGTCGGTATGGATGGCGGGGGGAGAAGAATTGGATGGGAAACTTTTTAGTGGAGCTGATAAGCAAATTGTAGCCATCTCCGATAAGCCTCACCGAGCTCACCGATCGGCAACTGAGAGCAAGCCCAGGCGAGGTAAGGACCTTCTACAGAACTCAAGCGACATGACGGCCGGTGTTTTGCGTTTCCCGGGGCTCGAGGTCTCAGGACTTAACGAATTCAGGAACTGCAGCAGATGTGGTGAGCCATGACTGCGGGTACCCACTGCCCAGGGAGGCATGAAAGTCGGCTCACTTTGCGATCGCTCAAATTGCGTGGCATTTGTTTAAAGGTCCTTAACTGCACGGATTTCGAGGTCACATGTTGAAATCGCTCTCAGTTAACAATCGCCTTGATTGTGTCGGCACGTTCGCATGGATGCGACACCATGATGCGATTGGCGCAGAAGATGCTCATCCCACGAAGGCGGAAGGTGGGTGGCATCAGGTACCCGAGCAACTTATTAAAAGAGTGGCCTGTTAGGCAGTATTGAACTTTGCTTGGTCTGCAGTATGCCACGGGGCTCGAACATTTCCGTAGATGTGTACTTGTGGCTCTTATTGGACAAAATGTCAGCTTTCAATTCCGGGTGTTGAATGTTATCGTCGCAGCCGGAGGCTTTTCTTGCTGGCCATTCGAGGGACGCTTGACCGGCAGTTATTTAAAGTTTCAACGTTGACCAGAATGGCGGCCAAGACAGCACGTCACTATAACTCTAAGGGGCTTATACAACCTTTGAAACCAACGATCGTTTTGCGTGAGCCTGCTTCCGCAACGGCAGCTGTCCCTGCCGGGTCATCCGACAGAGTTGCTACTCAGTCCAGACGATAGAGCATATAGTGCGCGGCCAGTCCTATCACGGCCGTTCCGTTCCTCTGAAGTCCGATTCTCCTTTCTCAGCCAATTTCACTCCTTTATTGTCGTAATGTATTTCACTAGTCTCTCGTTATTGTCCTTCCTGGCCATCGGCGTCGTGGGCCAGGAGTTACCCCAAGGTGTCTTGGGGTTTAACTCTGGAGCCACAAAAGCTGATTCGAAAGCGAAAGTTGAGTCCGACTTTGAGGATGAGTTCAAGACAGCTCAAGGACTCCGCGGTTCCCCTGGGCTTTTCAACAGCGTGCGCCTGTACTCCATGATTCAAGCGGGAACCACGAACAGCCCCATCTCGGCCTTTCCAGCGGCGCTTAAAACCAACACTTCGATGCTTCTCGGAATTTGGTGTTCCGGCACCCAGTCGATAGACCAAGAGATCGCTGCCATGAACAGCGCCATTGAACAATATGGCCAGCGTTTTGCCGACCTTGTGGTGGCTATCTCTGTTGGAAGCGAGGACATGTACCGTCTTTCCGAAAGCGGCGTTGCCAACAATGCTGGGTTGGGACAGGGCCCCGACACCATTGTGCGCTTCATTCGCGAAGTCCGTTCCGCCATCAATGGCACGATCTTGGGAAACAAACCCATCGGTCATGTGGACTCGTGGAGCGCATGGGCAAACAGAAGCAACACCGACGTCATTGACGAAGTTGATTGGATTGGAACCGACGTGTACACCTATTACGAGGCCGACAGAGGAAACGCATTCAGCAACACAACAGCTGTTTTCGAGGACATATACAACCAGACTTTCGCCTTCGCTGGCAACAAAACTGTCTGGGTCACCGAGACTGGGTACCCCGTGTCTGGTCCTAACTCTGGGGAGGCTATTGCCAGTGTGTCCAATGCGGCACAATACTGGCAGCTTGTCGGATGTGATAGGCTGTTCGGAAGAGTGAACACTTGGTGGTATAACATCAGGGATTCCAACCCGGCGATTACGGAGAAGTTTGGGATCACAGAGAACCTCAAAACAACGGCCAGGTTCAATTTGACTTGTGCCGCTGACAGTGGTGCCCCCGCCCCTGTCAACGTGGGCTCTGGAGCGGCTTCTTCTCGTGGTGGTGAGGTTCTGCTTGCTGTGAGCATGGCTTTTTTCGGCTTGTCAATCACAATTTGGCAGTGATAGTCGAGCTGCTGGGTCTGGTAGTCTTGTTCTCATGCCTTTCTAAATCCGTACCTGTTTTAAGAAAAGCGTTCCTGACTCGATCGTTGCATGGCCGTACACGGTGGTGCCCAAATCAGTCTTCATATACTGGCTTAGAGCGAGCGCCTCTCAACTATTGGTAATTTTGGTCTTACTCCATGAGGTTGAAAAAGTTGACAGTACGTGGAGGGTGGTCGAGTAGTTTCCTCAAAACAATTGCGGACGACCAGCAGGTCCACCTACGTTTTGGCAAAACTGTTTAATTTTCTTCCCTCTGTATCCTATAGGGCAAACGTACCGAAGGTAAGATCCTGTTGAGAAGAGCACACGATACATAAAGTCTTCGACCAAAAACACGAAGTCGGTTGCGCACCTGAAAGGGGTTGGTGCAGCCGGGAGCCAGCGATGCGCATAATGATTGGCAGGAGCCCGAAAGCACGTCCATTGGTCACGGGATCTAACGCCTCTTACACAGCCTGCTTGGGTAGGAACAAACATCCTTATGGTGGTGCGATCATTCGGTTCTAGAGCTCATGTTTCACTATAGAAGAAACCGAAAGAACAGTACGTATGGAGTTGTTGCGCATCATCTCGCAATCTGAGTTTCTCAAGTCATAAATACGTCTCGTGAGCGCTATCTCCAATTTCGAAGCAGCTCTACGTCAGATCTCAGAAAGCAGAAAGCCACGTTCAAAAACCTCCTGACCAGCTCGCCCACTGCTCATGACATCGTTTGACTTACCGAAGAGATCAATTGAGGCGGCCAGCGCTTACACAGGAGCCGGTGGTCCTGTGGCAAAGACTCCTTAATGTTTTTGAATAAATACACGCCTTCACCAAAGCAGGCGACATATTGATCGGCGGATCGCAAAATATGATAGCAAACGGCGTTTAGGCTGCCGTACGTGTTTCTCTCCAGTTATCTATCGGACATCTTGATTCCTTCGCTTAAGATCATAGAACTACTCATATTGTGTAGGGCAGATTCGTGTTATCCGCAGGATACTGAAGAGACGTCTCTCGAGCTGAGTCTAAACAGAGATCATGGTTAACATTCGCCGTTGATGATCGCTGTCGAGGCGAACTAAACTCCTGGCGTCGTCGCAGTACTAGGCGAACAGACTTACTCACTGAACCAATGGTATAGAGCGTCCCGCTGCCGAACAGCTCTGGACCTCCGCTGGCATGGCGGCGGAACCTTGCTAGGGCTTTTCATCAAGGACGACGACTTCGAGACGTTCCATCTTTCAGTCCGTCACTTCGCACCTTTAAACGATTTGTATCGAAACCAAAAAGCGGGCGCAAACAGATTTGTCAGAGTTCCAAGATGACCTCTTTTTGAAGTTGCTTGTACGAAGAATCCTCCCTGGCTACAAGAACTCCTGGGGGCGGATGTCGATGTAGGAATGCTCATTAACGGGCTGACGGAGTTGCAGACTGTTCGCATGCGGCGGAAGGCTCTACGTGCAAGCCAGGATGGTGGCAACATCGTCTCTTTGTTGATTAATGGAGACTATCCGGACTATTAAAAAGGGGTTGAGGGTATGACTCGATAGCTAATCAATATTGGGAAATATTCTAAAAGAGGAATGATGTGGTATTAAAATGAGAGCGAAGAATGAATACAAGGCTGGTGATGATACCCTCTTCCCCCATCGATACCCTTGTTGACATGCCGCAGCAGTGTTCCTCGCCAGACGGCTAATTTCAAGCAGAAGCAGCAGGCGCAGCCTTCTCAGGCTCAGAGCTGTGGGCCGAGGTACCCGCGAGACCAGCATGAGGGTCCTGACCCGTCAAGATGTCGGACACGTGGCGCGTGACCTCGACATAGTCGTAGGCAAACTCGCCGCACTGCACATCATCAAGACCAAGCTCCTCCTCATCAACATTCACGCGAAGGCTGAGGCCGGGGATGAGGTTCAGGACGAAACAGATCAGGCAGGTCATGACGAAGCACCAGGCGATGCCGGCGACGGTGCCGGCGAGCTGGTAGCCAAACTGGACGTAGTTCTGCTGGATCCAGCCGCCGTCAATCTCGGTCGCGCCGTCGAGAGCGGCCATGTAGTCACTGTGCATAGTTTAGCAGGGAAATCGCAGAGGAAGGCGCGGAGGTGAGGGCATCTTACGCAGCGAAGATACCGGTCAGCAGGTTGCCGACAATGCCACCGGCACCGTGGACGGCAAAAACGTCGAGGGCCTCGTCGATGCCTACGAGGAACTTGAGCTTGGTGGCAAAGTTGCACGCAGCACCGCCCACAATGCCAAAGACGGGCACGGACCAGATGGGAACGTAGCCTGCGGCAGGGGTGATGACGACGAGGCCAGAGATGGCACCAGAACAGAAGCCAATGGTAGACCACTTCTTCTCCAGGCGGTAGTCGAGTAGGACCCAGGTCAGGCCGGAGATACAGGCGGCCAGGTTGGTGACGAAGAGGACGACGGGCGTGCGAATGTTTGAGGCGAGGGTCGAGCCACCGTTGAAGCCAAACCAACCCACCCAAAGGAAGACGGTGCCGAGAAGGACATTCGTGACATTATGGGGCCTGTAGGGGAGGCCGTGGAGGCGGTCGTAGCCAGATCGCTTTCCGAGCATGAGGGAGTAGGCCACGGCTGCGACACCAGAATTGATGTGGACAGGAGTGCCACCGGCGAAGTCGAGCGAGCCGAGCTCGAGGAGCCAGCCGTTTGCGTTCCATGTCCAGTAAGCGATGGGGTCGTACACAACAGTGGCCCAGATGAAGACGAAGACCATGGCGGGGAGGATGCGACCGCGGTCGGCGATGGCACCGATGGCAATGGCGGGACTGTGGCCCTGTAAGAAAGAAGATTGCAAGACTCGTCAGAGAGAGACTCACGTAATGGCAGCAAAGAGACCTTGGTAGATGGCGAACATGATCTCTGGGATGGCGCCAACTGGCTGGGCGACGACATTACGGAAGCCGATATAGTCCATGTTGCCGAGGAAAGCATTGCCCGTTTGCGAGAAGGTCAAGGAATAGCCCCAGAAAAACCATTGTACTGTCGCGACGCTATGCGCAAGCATGATCATGAGCATGAGCGAGAGTGCCGACTTTCGCCGGGCGAGACCGGCATAGAAAAAGCCGACACCGGGGATCATGAGCAGAACGAGGGCGGAGGAGGTGCACATCCAAGCAATATCACCAGACTAGAGGAAGAGAACAGTCAGCACAGCGCCATGTTTGCAGAACGTGGTTTGTCATCTGCTCACCTCGTACCAGACGTTCATGTTGGCAACGCCAGCTGAGGTGCCATCATCGGCCGCCCCCTCAGTGCCGTTGTAGGCCTCGGTGTAGAGGCCAGCAGACATGGCGGCAGGAAATTGTTGTCGATGCTTTCAGTACTGCTTCGGCGCCGGAAGGCCTCGTTTTGGATGCGTCCAGAGCACTCGCGGAGGAAAAGTGACAGAGGATTGTTGATCAACAGCTGACACGAAGATGAGAGAACAGATTGCAGTCACACAGAGGCCGGGGGTAAAGGCAGCCTAAATAAGAACCTACGGACCAAGGCGTGATCTCCATTCTCGCTGCAAGGCGCGCTCCTTCCTGCACTTACAAATGACAGACAAGACTTTTGATAGCGAAGCAAGTACCGCAAGGTAGGTGGACAGACGGGAAGCGAACCCCTGTCCGTAACGATGGAGGGTCGATAGCTGAGCAAGCCGGGTCGGTCTGGGCATGGGATGGCGGCTTGGGAGCACGGGGATCCCTCATGATAGCGACAAGACTGAGTGGATCGGCGAGCGAACAGGGAACGACACCAGAGAGTCACACCAGGGAGGGTTGTTTCCCCGGATCAATGGTGTCGACGCGCGGTGGCATCACAGTGGTGCAGAGCGCGGGTGCCAAGATATCGGGACAGTGATCGGAGCAAGCTAGGAACGCCGTGTGTCTGCTTCTGGAGGCACATACTGCGACGCAGAGGTAAAATATGAGACAAGGTAGCCTTGGTGCGTCGAAGCCTGGACGGGTTGGTGTTCATGTGGGAAGGGAAGACGAGTCGTGTCACGCCACATCGGGCGACAGAAGGCGGATGGCCGCTTCGGACATGGATGTGGAACTGATAAGGACATGGCTCGCGCCGGGGGACATGGGGGGCACGTGCTTGGCGTGTGGACGTGCTGTAGTGGCTAGTGCCAGGGTATCAGGTACGAAGGCCCTGTTGGACGATCATTTGCATTCGTACGTTGCATCGACCCGTCCATCGAACACGCTGAAGGGTACAATGAGGCACCTGCAGGACTGTCTGAGAATGGAAAATGAAAAAGAAAGAAACCAACTGCTTTTGCACTGCGCGGCTGGCATTTTCAACGTGCGTCTGCGACTGCTCACCAAGGTAGGACGTTAGGATTGACCCCCACAGAGCATGTGGCTGGTGCCTCGGTGAATGCACCCACCTTGCCAAACCTTCATGTACCACACCTCGACAGACCTACCTACCAACCCATGCGTCCTTCATCACTGGCGTCAATCAACCGAACATAGTGCCATTCCGACCGGGGTATTCTCGCCGATAGATATGCTTGGTGTCGATGAAATCAAATTCCTCAATCGCTGACCGCCTGACATGATCCCTCCGCTCGTTGCACCACTGTCAGTATCGCCCAGGCACCATGCAACTTGGAGTGTAGGTAGACTCGATCGTTGCACTAGTGTATGGGGAGCATCGTGTGGGACTGGCAATCCCGAAAGTGAAAGACATGATCAGGCAGAACACAGGTCTAGGGCCATCTGACCACTACAGGATATTTCGGTCGCCGAATGAAATAGCAGTCCTGACGAGTTGGCCTGGCGTGACCTCGTTCTTCATCCTTTCTGCTTATCTGCCAGGGCTTCCGTGCCGTCGGAACCAACGGAGTCAAAGCTACAACCTCGAAAGAAGGGGTTTGTCCCCCCCCTGCCTGTCATCTGCGCCAGCACCTTATTCCCCTGCGGCCATCCAACCTGTCAGGGCAATGAGCGAATGAGCGAGTGCAGGTATTAATTAGGGTGGTCAACCATGTCACAGCACGACAGTGCCAGACGTCAATACATCCGAGAAGTGCTTGAGCCAACCCGAGACATCTCTAGACTGCCTCTCGTTATGGTCGGACTACCAGATGAAGATGACTTGGACTGCAGTCTTCTTCTTGCATTCCAGACAATCGTGCTTTCCGACAGGCTTGGAGTCCTCATCAAAGGAAGCCTTGTGGTCGTGGAGAGAAGAGGAGGTATACACCTTGGGGCTTGTTCGGCAAGAATGACGTCTGATTGGGAGCTCTCTTATCTCTCGGCATAGTGGGTCGGTGGCTGCAGCACATGCTTGGCGAGATAAGGGGATCCCTGCGGGACCTTCCTTGACGTTGCCATCCATCTCGAGCCTGCCTGGAAACGCCAACGACACGCCAAATGCAGCGGATTCTGGGCCAGACAAACACAAAGCAAACTGCAATGCGAACACTGCTCACGGCTCCGGCATCCAGGTTCTGGAGGAGTGCCTGTCTGACCAGCCTGCGTTATCAATCGTGTTCCATTAGTGTTAGCGCTTGCTAACAACTTCAACCGCCAAGCGCCCAGCCGCCATCCCACCGTCAACCTCCCTCAGCGTGTCTTTGACCAGCTTCGATCCTGATACCGGAGCAGAGGCTTGATACTAGTAATTACTAGAGAGAGATAATCCTAGTGACCGGTAAATACGACGGCGAACCAGACCCTACTTGCTGATATCGAGATAATCATTGCTAACGAGCCGCCAGTCGGCCGCACCACGTCGCTGGCTTGCCGCCATGACCCTGATGATAGGCAAAATGCACTCTTTGCCGCTACACTTGAACGCAGCACCGCCAAGCGGAAGGCGTTGCAGACCCTACACGCTCAGGGTCAAACCGATCCCCCGTCTTATTCACGTGCTGATCTACGAGGAGCAGGCCGTCAACTCTCATCATAGCAAAAGCTCACGTGTCAGATTCACCACCTAGATTGAGTCGTTTTATTCCTTTTTTTTGGGTGCATGCCACCTCGAAATCGGGTGGTCGTCTACCATGCAGCTCCGCGATCGATACCACATTGCCCACGCTTGCGTCCCTGCTTCTCAGCGCCCGCAAGGTGCCAACTGCCGGATCTCATAACAGCCTTAAAGCTCCCTTCTTCTAGACTGCTACCATCGTTCGACCTGGATCGAGTTCGGCAGACTTTTGTCCCTGCTTTCTTGCGGGCGCTCGCCCCCTCCCAAATCGCTCTTGGCAAAGGCTTGCGGTACTCGTCTGCCAGAGATCTGGCACTTGCCCGCTGGTCCATAGGGCTTTGCGGGCGTATCTCCTGCTTGGTGCCCCGTATTCTTCGATTCGCCATACGCGCTTTTCTGCACATGTGCAGACGCAGAAGGCCCGGTGCAACATGTAAGGTGTTCCGTTCGCCGCCGTTGAAGAAAGTGGCTTGAATCTTTCTTTATTATGCGGGCTGACCTGTCCTCACACGCAACGCCGTACGATTTCTCGCCGCCTTGACGCGCTTAAGGGAATCATCAACAGCAGGATGACAATAGCTGCGATATAGCATGACGCATCCATCGGGATACCCTAGCTTTCAATTTTACCCAAATGCTCATTCACAGTGACAGGAAAGTCGTCACTCTGCATACCACAGTCGGAACGCCTTGGAAACTCCTCTTGAGTGTGGCCAGCAAAAAAATCCTATTCAGACCATACTCCCACTGGAGCCAAGTGTCTGCTGTAGGGGCTTACGGGTCAATCCGCACTCACAGAACCAACGCAACACCTGTTCGCAAACACGATACTCGATTGATGACCAGTAAAAGGATATTCGAGGACTCGGCTCATGGCGTCTAGCACACCAATCCGCCATCAACCTGGTACACTGAACCTGTGATAAACTTGCTCTCATCTCCCAGCAAAAACACAACCAGTGCGGCGACCTCGTTCGGTTGGCCTTGTCTTGGCAAAGCCATAGAATAAGACGTGGGTCTCTCGCCCAGACGTTGTACTGATGTCTTTAAGAGAGGTGTCTCAATGGGGCCGCTACTCATTGTCAGTGACATATTCCCTTCCGGCCGGACATATAGCGTTATCACTCACGGAGCAACTGCATTGACCCGCACGTGTCTCGACCCGAGCTCCTTCGCAGCCGTCTTTGTCAAACCGACAACACCATGCTTGCTTGTGACATAGGCAGCGCTGTTCGGCAAGCCGATGATTCCTGCCACCGATGCAGCATTGACCACAGAGGCGCCGTCTTTCAGTGCTGGGATCTGTGCCCGCAACGAATTCAATACGCCCTTGATGTTAACTCCCATAACAAACTCCCAGTCATCGTCATCGATTTCGGCAATGGAAGCTATGTTCTGCTGCTTTCCAATTACGCCTGCCAGATTTGCTGCGCCGTCCAGCTGGCCGAACTTATCAGCAGCTTCGTGGATCCAACATTCAACGGCTCCCCGGTCTCGCACATCAACCTGCTTCGAGTGAATATTCTCTGGGCCGGCGACTTCTGCCAGTTCAGCTCTGACCTCTTCAAGAAGCGATGCATTGGCGTCGGCGAGAGACAGTCGAGCGCCGAGAGACGCGAGCTGGGTTGCCGTGGCGCGGCCAATACCTGAGGCCGCGCCTGTAATGGCGATAGCTTTGCCTTTGATGGTGGACATGATGGCGAGTGAGGCGCTGGTGCAGGATACCGAAGGCGAGCATAGGCTGTGGATTCTCTGGATTGAATGCGATCGATTCAAGCTAAGTACTTATGGGGCATGCACCGCCTGTGCAGGTCCAGAGCGTTGCTTTCGAGGCGGGGTTCCGGACTTCCTCGGAATGCCGCGAAACGACACCCAGGTTCCTGTTCTGCAAGGCCAGAGCTAAAAATCGTTGTGTCGGTTAATCTCGCCCGGAATGTTGAACCGCCACATCAAAAACGCAGCCCTTTGCTGTAAATTTACAACATGTTGTGTTACCTGCCAGTGTAACAACAGCTTTCAGCGAGTGCAACGCGTCGAGCTCTAGCCGATGACGAGCGATACGCTGCGGGTTTCCAAGTTTGTGGCGCGTGAGTTCGTTGACAACCAACTCGAGCCGTATCACGACGAGTGCCATCCTTGAAGCCACACCAAAGATGGCCTCGATCGCGTCACAAATGGCAACCTCAACCAAATCAAATCGTTTTGACACGCGAAATTGAATAAAGAACTAATGATTTCTAGCAATGACTTTGACTCGAATGAATATTCGTTGGTTTGAGCCCTGGCAGAAGACAGGTCGCTCCGCGGGATAAATATCGCGCTGCGCTGTCGTAAGCTGCGCCCAACTATCTAGTAGACGTATTCAAAGTTGGGATTTTCCTTGTCCGTCATATCTGTGAAGGCAGTGACGTTGAGCTCGTCGGCCACAAAGTTGCCGTTCGCGCGCATGGCGGCACGCTTCTCTTCCTTTCTCTTGTTCTCCCACTTGAAGGCATAGCGGAACACGAAGAAGAGAGCGAGCTCAATGCAGTTCGCCACAAGGATAGAGCCGATGCCGAGCTGGTACCTCGGGGCCTGTTTAGTGAGGTAGAAGAATGGGCTGACAATGTTGCCGATGCAGGCGCCGAACCAGATCATGCCTGAAACAATCATCTTCTTCGACTGACCGCCCGTGTTGGAGGTGATCAGAGAAAGAGAAATGACAAACGATGCCTGGTACGAGCCGGTGAGATAGCTAGAAAATGATTGTTAGCTTCCAGCCTACAAAGTCAGGGCTCCTCATACATACAAGCAGACCAGCCGTCCAACGTAGGCGTCTTTGGGGGCCAGAAGGAAGCCTAGAGATCCAGCAACAGTCGGAATCATGAAGATTGCGCAAACCAAAGTGCGACTGTTGCGAGGCATATACCTGTTGGCCAGAGCACCCAGGCCAATCCAGACGACCACCAGAGCACCCTGAGGAATGCCGAGCAAAGCGGTCTCGAGAGTGTCGAATCCAAGGCCCTTGATCACTAAGGTGGAGAAGTTGGAAATGCCCCCGTTGGGAACATTAGCAACGAAACCAAGCAGAGTGAAGAGCCAGGTCTTGTAATCGCAGTATGCCTCCTTGATCTGGCCCCAGTTGATTTTCCGTTGCTCTATTCCCGTCTGATTGCGACGCATACGAGCGATCATGATTAATTTCTCCTCTCGGTCGAAGCCCCAGATAGTGCGAGGCGAGTTCGGCAGCATGAAACAGAGGATGATGGCCCAGAATGAGCAGAAAGCACCGACGACAAGAAACTCGTAGCGCCATGACTCCAATGCTCCCTTGATGTGTCCAATGCCGTAGCCTAAACCGTCAGTAGCTGCAGAATGAACCAGGGACGGCTGTAGCTTACCGATCAATCCTCCTCCAGCAACACCAATGCCATTCCACGCATACCAAGCTGAGATGCGCGAGGGCTGTTCCTCGCGAGTGTAGTACATTGAAGTGATCAACATGAAAGCAGGATCGGCGATTGCCTCAAAAGCACCAGACAGAACTCTGAGGGCTAGAAGACCCCAGAAGTTACGAGCTGCAGCTTGTGCCATGAGCAACGCACCCCACATGAAGATATTGAAGGACAAATACCAAGCAGGCGGGCAGCGCTGCATGATGAGGTTCGAGGGAATTGCCCAGATCAGCCAACCAAAGTAAAAGCTGCTCGAGAGCCAGGAGTATTGGTCGCCCTTGAGATTGAGATCGTCTTTGAGGCCAAAGATGGCCGCATAGGATCTGTCCTTGTCAGAGCGCGTACTTTTCGGATGAAAGGGTTCTACTGACAGAGTGGTCTTGTCAACATAGTAGAAGAAGTAGCATATGCCTAACAGGGGCAGTATTCGCGTGTCAATCTTGCGGAGTACTTTCTTCTCGGCCACCTGATCTATCGACTCATCGTTGGGGTACCTTGCGAGGGCTTCGATGTACAACTCAGGGTCCGGATGGTTGACATCCTCGCTGATGACATTGGGCTTCCCAAGCTCCTCCTCGACGTGCTCGACACCACTTCTTCTTCCTTCGCCGGTGGGCTTTGTTGCAATGTCTTTACTGTCGGCCATGCTGACGCTCTTCTCTACCAGCTGCGTGGTTGGTTCTTGGTGTTCAAGTGACTAAATTGTAGATTACTGCGGGTTGCTTGTCGCAGGAGGTTAATGACTTCTTTATACATATGTAACTCTTGACCAGCACCAGTCAGTCGCCTCCAATGTCGAGTCAGATGTTTGTGGAGTCGAAACCTTGGTTTGGTTGGTAGGCGATCACCATCGGCTGATCCTGGGGGAGGAGTCGAGTCAGTGGGATGCCACGTTCGAGTAGCGGTCATCGTTCCGATGGGTAACATTGATGCCCACTAACAGCACAAAGACGCCATTTGGATAATCTGCTGGGTAAATCCTGAAGCCACAGACGTTCCGCCAAATTATGCTGCGCCAAGAGATGACCTGCGCCGAGACGAGTTGTTGGGTTACTCTCCCTGTCCATCATCGCGGCTTCTGACGACCCGTCAAACCAAACGAGTCCCGGCCGTCGCAGCGGGTTGGCAGCACTGCGGGCTTCCGACCGCCGTGTGTCGACCGCTCCGACCCCACTACTGACCCCACCTCAGCTCAGGCTCCGCAAGCCCCTGGATGTCGGCACCCGACGGAACCCATCCGATGGCTGCATTACTAGATTCCTAGCAACAGTCCCCATCTTATATGGATCTCAAGTCGTATGTGAATGGTGGAATTCTTGTTTCCGATGCGTCGTCGGGGACTCAGCAACTGGTAGCTTCGTCTGGAAATTTTCCCGCCACTAAGAATAACACTCGGTCTCGGATAGCTCCCAGACGTGTTTTCGAGGCTGCATTCTTGAGATCGTCAAGTTGGGACAACCTATGGCCAGCATCATGATCCATACACCCAGCGTTGAGAATCCAAAAATACATTCGTCTAGAATGCATGACCGAGTCAAATGTCGGGAGGCGAACCTTGCATTCACGGTGCCGCGCTATCTACAGTCATTATCCGTGTGAATTGCAACTCATACTGGCTGAAGATTTACACCTTTTTCTATTGAGTAGTAGGCCATCGCCAGAAGAATCTCACGTTAAGAATCATCCATCTCTTAAGGGATCTCTAGGTATACCTTTTCGTACCATACGCTTACATCCCTCCTTGGAAGAAGAGCCTTTTAACGCTTAGCCCCTCACTTCGTCAGTCCTCTCTTCAATATAAGATACACCGCTACCGTTCCCTTACTATTATAATGGCCGTACATGAAGACCCTAAAGAGTGTAAGAGGGAGGAATAGATCCTCGGACAACAGACTAAAGGATCTAGCGGTATTGACGTCACTCGTAAACCCGGCGCCTGAGACAACTTGTAAGGGAAGACTTGCAAGACTTCCCCATAAAGAGACTTATATGGTATAGGCACTCCGCTCCAGCGGGGTCACTTAGCACGACGTGCTCGCGCGAAAGATCAGGTAAGACTCAGCTCTATCTCATCAAGCGCCGCGAGCTCTGACGCAGACTTCCTTATCCTGGTAGTAGACCATGATTCATTTGGATGAAGCGGTGAGGCGGCAAGTTAACCGTCGATGTCTTGCAAGGGCGACTATAGTCATCAGACTCATACCACTAATAATCAAGAGACGTTCCAATTTGCAGGTCAATAGTGTCAGCATACACACTCCGTATTGCAATGCTAGGGTATCGCGGAGAACAAGATGATCACTGAAATAGATGGAAGATCAGTTGTGACAATGATTGTATAGATGCTTCTTCAGATAGTTCTTTGTAATATGCTTCCATGTATGTGTGGCAGATCAAATGCTGGACTTGAGTATTGATGTTTAATAGCAGCTTGTACACACACGATACCTAGAGCAATTATATCGCTGTCTTATCAATCCCGATAAGTTGTGACTCTTGATCTACCATTCGGCAACCTCCCCAGCACCAGGTCTTTGCATCCTTATCACCTTGTCGCAATTCAAGAGGCAAAGAGGATCGAATGCTTTTTTTATCTGCATCATATTAGAAAGCGCCAAGACCAACACGAACGACTCACCTGTCGCATTGCGTCAACGGTCGCCTCGCCAAGTTCGTGGTTCAGATAGTCTCTTTTGACCAAGCCAACACCATGCTCACCCTGGTACGCGTCAGTATAATCTTCAACCTTTGGTCTGTAGTACTCACAGAAACTGTACCTTCCAACTCAATTGCTCTCTTGACCATGTCGTGTACCACGTGTTCAGCCCGTTCTCTTTCGGCATCATTGTAAAGCATGATAATGTGAAAATTACCGTCTCCAACATGACCGACAATTGTTCCAAATAGGCCCGCATTGGCCATGGACAATTTTGTCTCCTCGATGATATCTGGCAATCGACTCATGGGCACTGCCACGTCACCCGTCCAGACATGGTCGCCGTCCCGCTTCAAAGCCATTGTGCTCCAAAGTGCCTCCTTTCGCGCGCTCCAAAGTTCCTGCTGCTCATCGTGACTGCTGGCAAACTCGAATGTTTGCGATCCTGAGTCACTCGATAGCTGCTGTACCAGTGCTACTTGCTCTTTAACAGCAGCCGGAGTACCGGCAAACTTGAAGAACAGCGTTGGCACCTCCTCCCATGCCCGCGACGTGCTGCCTGTTTGGTTAATGACTCGCATCTGGAGATCATCGAGGATCTCTACTGCTGCGATAGAGATGCCTGCACCAACCACCTTTGCCACGCAGTTGGCAGCATGCCGGATCGATGGGAATGTCGATATAGCCACTGATGTTGACTGGGGCAAGACGGCCACCTTCAGTATAGCTTCAGTTACCATTCCCAGAGTGCCTTCGGACCCTATAAAGAGCTTTGTCAGGTCGTACCCTGCAGATGATTTTCGCGGTCTCTGACGTGTTTTAATGACTGTGCCATCAGCCATCACTACCGTAAGTGATAGCACCCATTCACGCATCGTGCCATAGCGATATGCATTTGTCCCGCTACATCCCGTACCTACCATACCACCAATCATGGCGCCAGGGCCTGGGTCTGGAGGGAAGAAAAGGTTATCCCGAGCCAGTTCTTCATTAAGTGCCTCCCATCGGACTCCAGGCTGCACCACAACGTCCAAGTCGTCCTTATGTAACGATAGGATCTGGTCCATACGTCCGAAGTCGATTGATACGCCACCTCGGGTCGGTACGAAATGGCCCTCAAGTGAGGTACCACCGCTATACCCGGTTACAGGAATCCGGCGTGTATGACATATCTTCAAAATCCCGGAAACCTGCTCGGTCGAATGCGGAAATACAACCATAAAAGGGCGCTCAGTATCTTTGGCTGGGTGTGTTGACCACTCGGACGTTGAGTGATACTCGAGGTCCGACGTTCTGACGCTGATCTGTTCTTCATGAACAACCCCTAGAAGCTCCGTCCGGGCAGCGATGAGGTTTTCCTCATCGGTCCTGTGCGTCGGCATGTCTGTGTGGGCGAGGGGCAAAGTTGAATTCTCCGTAGGTGAAGGCTGGTGCTTTCTACCTAAGTAGTAAGCTATGCCTATTGTGATGAGCATAGCTTGATATATGTTAGCGTTGCAGGAAGGTTGTAAGGTGCAAGAAGGATTCGATCCCTACATGAAGTGAGTACTATATTACGCCTGCTGGCGGTCTTTCCATGAACAGTTGAAGACAATTCGAGCTCTGACGACCTTTTTGCCAAGCATTGCGGAATGCTGCTTGGGGTCTCGCCCTGGAACGGAGGAGGTCCTTTAGTCTTGTTTGGCAGCTCGCTTCCAGAAAACAAGGTTCGCTTGCAAAACGAAAAAGCTCGACTCGGTGTCATACCAGCCGGCAACCTACACAGCAAGGGGCGAGACGCAATCCTGAAGCTGTGCAAGTTGGTCGACCACATTGCTGAAAGGCATCTCGTTGTAATAGGAAAGGCGGTGAAGTCTGCGGCGCAATGTTCGAATGTCTGACGTTCGAATGTCTGACGAAGCTGAGATGGAACTATAAGTACTTGGCGAGGCAATGGAGGGGGTATGCAGCCCACGACACCGTATTAGTAGGTAAGTAAGGCAGGGTCGTTCAGGCTTTGTCGACACCCTTACAGTCAACATAAAGACACACCCACCTCCAACCTGAATGTCGGCTTGTGGATTAGCGCCGTGGATCAAGGGGCCTGTTTGATGGACGAACTTGATTCGGTCTTGAAATCGCAGCCCTGGTCTGTGATGAGCTGACCTCGGTTGTGGTAATTAGGGTTTCTATGAGAAGAGTTCTTTGGCTGGCAGTACTCATGAGAATATAGAAAATGCATACCGCAGCGGCAGACAATGCAGGTCAAGCCGTGCGGGAAACATGCGATGATTCATAGTGCCTAGTGGCCCGGAAACATCAGGCACTAGTGACCACATAAATTGTTGCCTGATTGATACATTCTACTATATTTACTGCACCTACTGACCATCAAAAAAGATTTAGCTATCTGAAGCCGATCTTATTGGTATAAGAGCATTGTTTTAAGAGCTCTCATCAGCTTTCATTACTCTAGTTTCTCTGACGAACTTTGGCGGGGCGTTGTTAAGTGAGATTGGGCTCAATAGTGCATCAGCCATAGCAATGCAAAGCAGGATACGGATCTTCGAGACTGGGATGAGCCAACCTCTTGAAGTAGTAGCCCGCCGTGATGAACCTCAATTCGACTTAACCGAATCAGGTAAGCAGCCGGCTCCTGGCAGGTTGGTGTCTTGCGTTCAACTGAACCCCTCCTGAAGCTAGTGCTTGCTCGCGCCGAACGTGGCTCCTGACGAAAAAGGCTTTGAGACCGCCCTTATCGCATGGCATCTCGAGCATGCTTACAGCCTCAGAGGGTGTGGGGTGGGGGCCAATGCAACTCCCCACGCTGTCGAACTGGGGCCACCGCCGCCGGATGTTTGACGCGAGGAGGGGTAAACCCCAGTGGCGAGTCATGTTCTTACCAACCGCATCTGGTAACACCCCGCGCTCAGTGAGCAACTCCAAGCTGAGCTGAACTACACTATTCTTTCAGACTGGCGAATGCTGTTGGCAAGCGAGGGACGCAAAACTAAGCCGTGGTGTAGCTCGATCATGTGCGATTCAAGCAATCATTGCTAGTTATTGAACTGATCAGGCAAGATGCCGCCGTCTCTCGCATCCGCACGCGTATGACAGATCAGCTGCTCTCCTTCATGTTGTCCTTAGTCCACAGTCTCTGGGTGATAAAACGTCAGGATGACACTGGATCGCGGACTTCAATGTTAAGGTCTCAGCAACAGCCCTGACCACAGATTGACCACACTCCGCTTTCGCTGTTCAGTTTTCTCCCATCATATTCCCCAAATTGATTGAGTCTCGGAAGAATTTACACTGGAATCCGTATCTCACACAATGGCTTCCTATCGAATCCAGCAGTTCTCCAGGCATCTGAGCGCCAACCGACCTGCCAAGCACCCACTTGATCCCCTCGATGCGTACGAGATCGAAAACGTCGTATCCATCGTCCGCTCGCAGAAAGGCAATGCTCACTTCAACACCGTCACTCTCCACGAACCGCGGAAGCAAGACATGCTGAAATGGCTAGCCGAGCCCGCCACCGCCCCTGTACCAATGCGAGTCGCCGACGTAGTTGTCGTCGACAGATCTGGACAGGTCTACGATGTGTTGGTTGATCTCGACCGAGGAATAATCACCAAATGGGAAGCCCTTGACGGTGTGCAGCCGATGATCATACTTGAGGAGATGATCAACGTGGAGCACATCCTACGCAAAGACCCCAAGGTCATCGAGCAGTGTAGGATTATCGGTATCGCCCCCGAAGATATGGACAAGGTCTACTGCGACCCATGGACCATTACGCACGATGAAAAGTACGGCACCAAAGTCCGCGCGCAGCAAGCTCTCCTCTATTATCGTCCCCATATCGACGACAGCCAATACAGCTTTCCACTCGACTTCTACCCCGTTTTTGACGTGGCCAAAAAAGAGGTCATCGATATAGATATCCCGCCTGTCCGACGCCCCTTGAGCCTTGCCAAGCCCAACAACTACCATATACCAGACATTGAGAAGGAGGGAGGGTTCCGTACAGATCTGAAGCCGATCAATATCACGCAGCCAGAGGGAGTCTCTTTCACTGTGCAAAACCGCGTCATCCGCTGGCAGAATTGGTCTATTCATGTGGGCTTTAATTATCGTGAGGGCATCGTGCTCAACGATATCAACTTCTTCGATAAGTTTGAGGGGAAAGCCCGGCCTCTGTTCTATCGCCTCTCGCTAGCCGAGATGGTTGTGCCTTATGGGAATCCAGATCACCCCCATCATCGAAAGCATGCCTTCGACATCGGCGAGTATGGTGCCGGAAATATGACCAATTCCTTAGCGCTCGGGTGTGATTGTAAGGGAGCTATTCACTACATGGATGCTCACCTCCCGACCCAAGCTGGTGGTGTTCGAAGCATCAAGAACGCCATATGCATCCACGAAGAGGATGCTGGCATCCTGTTCAAGCACACCGACTTTCGAGATGATAGCACCATAGTCACTCGCGGTAGGAAACTTCTCATCTCACATATTTTCACCGCCGCGAACTACGAATACTGCATTTACTGGGTGTTTCATCAGGATGGCACCATCCAACTCGAGATCAAGCTTACAGGCATTCTCAACACGGCCAGCATCAACCCCGGCGACGATACAGAGGGATACGGAACCGAAGTGTACAGCGGTGTGAATGCGCACAATCACCAACATCTATTCTGCCTGCGCGTGGACCCTAACCTGGATGGCCAGGATAACACCGTCTTCCAGGTGGACGCCGCACGATCTCCGCACTCCCTTGGGTCAGAAAAGAATAAGCATGGGAATGCCTTCTTCGCCGCCAAGACAAAGTACAAGACGGTGGGCGAGGCTCAAGCAGACTACGACGGCTCGACCAGCAGGACCTGGGACATCTCCAACGAGGCCAAGGCTAACAAGCACAGCCACAAGCCTGTGTCGTACAAGCTAGTGAGTAGAGAGGTCGCTCCACTAATGGCCGCCGAGGGCGGCCTGGTGTGGAACAGGGCCGGGTTTGCGCGTCATGCAGTCCATGTTACCAAGTGTAAGTGCACGTGCATCCCATATTCCGTCCTTGATCCGCCTACATGCCATACTGCAGAGCTTCGGCTAAATACAGCGCGCAAACCAGACAAAGATGATCAACTTTACCCCGCGGGCCGTCATGTCACCCAGACTTCAGGCATCCCGTCCAAGGGCATTCCCGAATGGATCATGCAGAACCCCGATGAGAATATCGCCAACACGGATATCGTGCTTTGGCATACCTTTGGGATCACACACTTCCCTGCCCCCGAAGACTATCCTGTCATGCCAGCCGAGCCGATCACTCTGCTGCTGCGGCCGAGGAACTTCTTTGAGAGGAATCCTTGCATGGATAGTAGGCACCAGGTCAAGCCCCACAGGTCGTTCACTTCGTTAACCTTTTCGTTTAGTTCCCCCCTCCTATGCCATTACGCCGAGCCAAGTTCAACAAGGAAAGGATGGTTGTCATTGTGCGCCCAGCAAAGAGAGTGTTAATGTGTGATGGAGCATCGGCGCCTACGCAAGAGCTTGGGCAGGTAGATGAACAAATTTCATATTGTAGTAACTGAGAATGGATGCTATATCAGAGAGGAAATGCATGATGTACTTTTGACTTCTACTGCTAAATGGGCTCGACGAGGAAGAAATAGACGTCGAATGTGTACAGGATTTTACCAACCCCAGTGCATTGGAGAAGTCGAGGACTTTGTTCAATCGGCCTACTATTCGGATACAACGTAATTCTATCGTACGTAATAGCTGTGTTGAGAGCGTGGCTTACTAGAAATACCTGAGCAAAGTGGTCTGACTCGTAGTCTTACATGATGTGATTTGATCTCCAGTGGCATGTTGAGCATTGGCGAGTGCGGGCTGTCTAGAACTAAGCCATCGGTTGGTGACTCAAGAATTCGTGCGTTGCCTGTTTTGTCTGGCGCCGCCATGCTTTCGTCGAACGTGTCAGAGCTGCCAGCGTTCCTCGACTTTCCGCGACTTGGGACTTTGGGCCACCCATGTTGCGATGGGGTAAAATGGGGTGGTATCATGAATGCAGATTTCATGTACAGGGACTCAGGGAATCAGCCGGTGGTTGTGGGTCATAGTCGTAGGAGAAGCTGGCATATAGCAAACTTGACTGCAACATGTGGTCTGTTGGAAGCCGAGGTATGTGCTGATCTATGATATTGTCGACTTGATCTGTTGGTAATAGACACGAACCCCTGGTGCTTGACATATTGACGTCCACATGACTGAAACTGAATAGACCTGGATCTGAATTTGGACTGTCTGACCACTTCTTCCCGCTCAACTCATTATTCCTTAATTGTGCCATGACAAGCGTGGTGAGAGGGCTGCAGGGACTGCAGGTCCATCGGCATGACGCACCCAGAGCAGAGGAAGCGCTCAGACCTTTAATTAAAGCCCGTAGCATCGTATTTCAGACAGCCTCGCCGATACCTAGTAACCACCTCAGCAGAGAAGGGAATAGTGCAAAGCAAAGGCCAGATATCACGCAGTTCCCAGAGATTTTCTAAACAGCAAGAGTTCAACTGATCACAGTATCTAACGGAAAATCCAATCATACACCATAATCGATGTATATTATTGTCAGAACAACCTGCCCAAAGGTCTTAGCCATTCGACGATGCGGAACGGCAAAAGATCATCCTTTTCAAGGAACATCTCGTTGAGTCATTACAAGATGCAGAGCATCTCGAAGGGCTTCAACCTCGCCTTTAATGGCCTATCGTTAGGAGAAAGCAAGTGTTGATACTAGCACTGCTGTACTTGTCAGTTGCAATTACCGCTCTGCCTCCCTTTCCCGCCTTCCTTGCCATTCTGAAAGAGCCAGAGAGAGTACATACAAACCACAATCTTCGAACTCAACGCCCGCCAGGAATCCTCTTTACTTCCGGCATGATGCTGAAACGTCCTGGCTGGACAGGGGTCCAGAGTGTACTACCCCAGCGTGGCCGACTATGGCAAGCTAATTTAAGCCACAATCCCAGCTCCGCGTGGTTCCAAACCAGGCCGGGCCTTGTACATCCCCATCAAGGGATTCTCCAACAGAAACCCACCCAAGCGATACGGGATGCGGGGAAAGATTGCTAGTGTGCCCCTGAATCGCAATTCTGGAGTCAGGAGACCACATGCTCACACTTAAACGTTGCACGCCCCCACGTGCGAATCCAGGATGCTCAGCTCCCCAACGCCATGCACCAGACTAAATCGCTCTCCTCGAACTGGCGTCGAAGTGGAAGCAAGTGCAAGTTTCAACATGCATCCAAGTGCTGGATGTTTGCCGTGTAAGTTGCGCAAGAAGAAGTGCGATGGAGCAAAGCCGATCTGCCGGGGCTGCCAGCGCAATTACCTCGTCTGTGTTTGGCCCCCGACACAGCAGGTCCGTCCGCCTCGCAAAGGAGGGATGGTGAGTCCCCTGTTACAGCTATCGTTGCCGGGGAATGGAACTGTGTGCTTGTATGACAGTGTACCTGTGCTGACGCGCAACTCCCAAGCCCTCCTCCACCTTGACCATATTTGCTGTCGAGCCCCAGGATCACCTACAGAAGCACACCCAGGCGAAGAATGAGTCTGAAACGGCAAGGCGATGTGCAAGGCTTCTCAAAGAAGATTTGACCTCCATTCCGCGAACCCTGCCATCTAATGGATCGCTGAGACCTGAGTCAAAGTTTCTCCTCGACCATTACCTTCACCGGACGGGCAAAATGGCATCTGCTCATGTCGGCACCTACACGCCCTTCACCGATGCATTACTGCCTATTGCTCATGCATCTGATATGCTGCTCGATTCCGTCCTGACTTTCAGTTCCTTTCACCTCGCGGCCAGCAGCCCTAGCAATACCACGGTGAACACGTTGGAGCAGCAGGCTCTCGCTCTACGAAGCCTCAAATATGGCATCACTCGGTACTCTCGTGGGGATGAGGACTTTGGGATACCGCTATTTCTTTCCATGCTGTTACTTTGCTGTGTAGAGGTGCGTCCGGCCTTCCCGACCTTCTGATAGACCTCCTATCTAATAGGCAACTAAACCTTGACAGCTTGCCAACGGCGGCGAAAGTGGAAGCTCATTCCAACATCTGACTGCCCTTCGAAAGCTAGCTCCCAACATCCTCAGCCGCCTGGACGAAGTACCTCGGGATTACAAAAATGCTATAGTCTTTGGCAGAGAGCTCTACGCCTACTTCCTGGCTCTCGCGTGCATCTGTCATCCTGCGGACACAACCGACGCCAGCGTTATTGACGAGTCAGCTTCCGTCTACTACGAAATTTCAGCATCGGGCTATACAGGTGCTCTCTTCGGCTGTTCGGATGCACTGTTCCGCCTCATTCCGCAAGCTGTCGCTCTCTTGAATGAGGCGAGATCAATACCTCTTGCCATTCTCATTTCGACCGCTTCACCGGCAAAGCTGTCAGATTCGGATCAAAGCTCACCATTTGACGAGATGGCGATGCTAAGATCCAGAATTGCATTGCTTTTGGCAAATGTGTCCTTGTGGGAAGCACCCCTTGGAGTTGACGATACCTTCCAGGCTAGCGGGAGGATTCTCCAACTCGCACTGACAGCCATCCTGTTGGAAGCTTCCCACTGGATCAACATCGCCACGCAGTTCGCGCCTCATGAACTAGACGAGACTACCTCTGGTGACTTTGGCCGGGAACCAGCATCGAACCTGGACCGGCTTATTGCGCCAGTAGTGGCAGAATTCATGGATCTCCTCGAAAAGCTCCCCGCGCAATCTCAAATCGTCACGACAATGTGTTGGCCGATTGTTGTTTTGGGCTCATATGTTACTCTGCCGCTTCGTAGGAACATGGTGCGGGATTATTTGCTCGGCATGGAGGCGACATTCAAGTTTGCAAACATGACCCGTTCACGACTGGTGCTGGAACACATATGGTCGAGGGTGCGTACGTTTGAATTTGATCGGCCTATCACCATCTCAGAGGCTATGATCGAAACAGGAGGGAGATTCATACTTGGATAGAGACATCACCAGTCACCCACAAGCTCATTCAAGCGCCGTCCTTCTAGAAATCAGAGTCATGTATTCTTCCAAGGCGTTCAACCGCCTCAGTTTATTGAATGCCCAGCGGCTCCTTGATCCTCACATTCTGAATGATCTCGATCCAATATTCATCCGGATCGATGATGAAAGCAATCGACTTGAGTTTTCCATCCGTTAGGCGCTTCTTCCATTTCACCTTTCTACTTTCGAGATATTCGCACGCGGCCGTAATGTCGTCGACCGCCAGTGCTATTTACCCGCATGTCAGTCTGGAATCTACATAAGATCAACACATGTGCCAGGGAAGAGGAACTTACCGAGATGGCCAAACCCTTGCGGCTGATCATTCCCATTGTGATATACCTTGCCTAATTCCAACTCGGAACCATGAGTCCATATGAGCTTCACAAGCCCTTCTCTCTGGTGAATGCTGCGATTGGAGCCACCGTCGAGGTAGCCCAGCCAGTACGTGGTTTGACCTTGTTTATCGGATCGTAGGAGAAGGCTCATACCAAGAATGTCTGTGTACCACGGCAGAGATACGGTCGGATCCTTGATGCGCAGTCCTGTTGAGTTGAAGCACCTGTTTTCGACACCGGCGGAAAAGTTGCTGGGTTCGGCAGCCGAAGAGGTTACTTCGATACAGTATCCGTCAGGATCCTGGACAATAACACTCTGAACTTCGTTGCTCCCAGCAATCTCACCCTGCTCAGTGACTGGAACGCAAGCCAGCTGGGCGACTGTTTGCTCAAGATCACCCACTGTAATCCCAAGATGTTTGAGTCCCAAGTTTGGCTCCTGGTTGCCATTGGAAATCGTGTAACCCTCATCGAGCTCCGTTCCATAGTTGTGGGTCAACTCTAGAAGACCTTGGCGATCAGATCGTATCTTCCCAGCTGAAGATGATTGCCCCTTGACATCAAAGCCAAGGAAGTAAAGGTCGAAATGGTTCTCCGGCATTGCAAGTTTATCGATCAACGACAGCCCTAATTTCTGATAAAACGCGATGCTTCTCACCGGATCTTTGACCCGAATCATGGTGTGATTCATCTTCCAGCTAGATAGATCAGGCATGTGTGTGTTTTCCATGGTTGACGGGGATGCCGGGACGTGTATGAGGGGTGATGGTGATAAAATGGGGGCGCCGACTTCACTAGGTATTGTCAAGTGATTCCGGATGGTATTGAGGCGATTCATTCAGTTAGGTTTGCCTGAGCGAGATGTCCACGGGGCTTCTTACAACCCGCAGTGCATCAACGGCATCTCAAGATAGCAAAGCTTTATACCGATGCAAAACCCCGAACACTACAACGACATTTCGATCTGCCCTTGCGACATCATTTTCTAGGTCATACGGACTAGTCATCGGTCCATGAACTCTCCAAGCCGCTATTTCCACTGGCCGAACACCACATGACTGGGAGCTGCAACTGTTCGATCTGCCGCAATGAATTCGCACACTACACGGTCAGCGGGGGATTGTCGCTTCCCGACCCGACAGGTTGGCTCTGGCAAGGGGTGGACCGTGTCAAATGATACATGACCCCGCCCAGCACATCCTCGGCAGATCTAGGTCACTACCAGTCAGCATGACCAGGGAGATAAAGCACTCGTTTGATCATAATCCTACTGGACGCCGACCTGAGATGAGTGCGGGGTTGGATGGCATGCGGCCTGAAGTTGCGACGTTGACAAGCGCGGTGTGCTGCCCGACAAGGACTAGTGACAATTCTCCTATCTGTCAAAGATCATGAAGTATCATTCCAAGGGTTGGACATGATAAGCGCGGTGTGATGCCCAACTAGGACTAGTGACTTGTTCAGCCACAGCAGAACGAGTATCCCCGCATGACCACCGTGCTATTGAATATCCCGATGGGTTAAACGATATCCACGGTGGCGGCCGCTTGGTGTTCAGGCGAGCGCTTGAATGAGTCGGGCTACTCGATTGCTGGCTTGACGTTATAAAGTACGCACTACTTGCGAACTTTGTCTTTAAACATATAAGTCTGTATGAAGATCAAATATTGACTTGGGCTCGATGCTATGAGTTCTGTGATACTTGTTGGTCGAAAATCGAAATCTTGTGACTCGGTCCTGTTTTCTCTTGTTGAAATTCGAACCGTATCAACCGCACCCAACTGCGACCTCTTCACATCAGACATCCACCATATACGTCCGACACCATGTCAACATCTCCTGCCGCAATCTCCAGTAACAAGCCGACCATGGAGAAGACTGAGCAGGCAGGGGAGGTCACTGCCGATCAGGCACTTGCCCAGCTTGGATATACCGCGGAGCTGCCCAGGAATATGGGCATGCTGAGTATTCTCGGCTTATCAATCGCCATCATGTCTGTCCCGTTGGGCATCTCGACAACCATGTACATCTCGTTGACAGATGGACAGTCAGTGACAGCCCTCTACGGCTGGTTACTGGTCTCCATAGTGTCCTTGTGCACTGCTGCGTCCATGGCCGAAATATGCGCCGTGTACCCGACAGCCGGTGGTGTTTATTACTGGTCAGCCGTCTTGTCCACACGTCAATGGGCTCCGCTGGTGAGCTGGATAGATGGCTGGCTTGGCCTTGTCGGTAACTGGACCGCGGCTCTGAGCATTAACTTCTCCGGTGCCCAAGTCATCCTTAGTGCAATTACTCTCTGGAAAGAGGATTACGTGCCAAACCAGTGGCAGACAGTCCTTACTTTCTGGGCTTTGACCGTCGTTTGTGTTGCGTTCAACCTGCTAGGCACCAGGTTTCTCAACACCCTGAATCAAATCTGCATCTATTGGACTATAGCGTCCGTGGTCATCATCTCGGTTACTGTACTGGTCATGGCAGATGCCCGGCGGAGTGCTGAGTTTGTCTTTACTCACTATGACGCTTCTGCATCTGGTTGGCCGACCGGTTGGGCTTTTTTCGTAGGGTTGCTTCAAGGTACGTCAAAATTTGTCTGCATTGACCTCTTCTCAAGGCTAATAAGGTTACAGGAGGATACACCATGATCGGTTACGGTATGGTCGCTTCAATGTGTGAAGAGGTACCGAATCCTCACCGAGAGGTCCCAAAGGGCTTAGTCCTCTCCGTTCTCGCCGCGGGCATAACCGGCTTGGTTTATCTGATTCCTATCCTTTTTGTGCTCCCTGAAGTGTCGCTGTTACTTTCCGTCGCCAACGGTCAACCCATCGGCCTTCTCTTCAAGATCGTTACCGGCTCAGCTGCCGGCGGCTTCGGTCTCCTGTTCCTTCTACTGGGTATTCTCTTGTTTGCTGGTGTTGGCGCCATCACTGCAGCTTCCCGGATTACCTACGCCTTTGCCCGCGACAAAGCGATTCCTGGACATCATATCTGGAGCCGCGTAGATAGGCGACTAGGAGTCCCAGTCTGGTCGCTCATGCTGACGGCCGCGGTCAACGCCCTTCTCGCATGCATCTATTTCGGTTCATCGGCTGCTTTCAATTCCTTTACAGGAGTGTGCACCGTCTGTCTATCCACCTCATATGGGCTCCCGGTTTTTGTTAGTGTGTTGCGAGGCCGACGCGCCGTGGCTAACTCCCCTTTCAGCCTTGGGAGGTTAGGTCTGTCTATCAACATGATCTGCATCATATGGATCGCCTTCTCGATGGTCATTTTCTGCATGCCTGTGGCCCTGCCAGTGGATGCGTCGACGATGAACTACGCCAGCGTCGTGTTCGCAGGCTTCGCAGGTGTAAGTTTGCTGTGGTATCTTGCGTACGGTCGGCAGCACTTCCACGGCCCACCCCTGCTGGAGGGAGATCTGTGATGGTGGCTCTCAGTTTCAGGCAGGAGCATTTGTATCGAGTCTCCTTGTTTTCAAACTTCTAGGAGGAGATGAAAGCTATAGTTTGGAGAACGGATTGAAGCTTGTTATGGATTCGGTGTCTCTATATTCAATGAAGCATCAGTCGACAGGAGGCTTAGCCCAGGCTCAGCCCAAACAATATCAGAGTGAATGGCGAAATAATCGTAGCGAACCTTCCGGAGGCTTTGAGCTCTCAATGCAATGCACTGTTTGAGTGCTACCTGCACTCAGACGCCTCGAATCCACAGGGCAGAGCGTCAATCCCGGCTATCCTGGGATAAAACACTTCCAAGCCATATTCAATCTTTTAGTGTTCATAGTGGCTAGAAAGGTAGTCCAGAAAGGTTGCAGAAGACCTTAGTGCGTATTGAAACCGGGCAGGGCAGAAGTGTGTGGCTCAGCGACAAGGTGATGAAGAGTGGCTGATTAGGTAAACGGACATCAGCTAGACTCGTTGTGAGGACCCCTAAGGGGCACACATCATTAACCCTACACCACATATTCAATGACCTATCTTTTTCTCAAGTGACTGCTTCGTTGCCCTGATCAATTGAGGTCATCACTGGCCCTCCTCCATTATCTTCCTGACGTCGCAGCTTTTTCATACTTCGCATGCTTTTGGCGAGAACTTGGAGGTTTGTCGGGGTTCAATGTATGCCCTGGGCCAGACTGCCAGTATTTCCAAAAACCTTCAAGTATGAGTTTCTCAAGACCTCATCCTGAACGACGGTCGAAATTATGAACCGCGAATCGAGAGTCATCTGCCATTGGACAGCATATAAAGATGACCATGCACGATGGTGGCGCAACCTGGAAGGCAATCAATCGAGCAGCAGGCTTCATTCACATGGGTGCAGTTTCGGCTAAATATCATTCAACGAAGCAGAATATCGCTTTCCCGACAGACCCTTGACAGTTAAGGCTAAGCGAACGTCTTCAATGCAACAAGCACAGCTACCCGTCGGGACCGAAGATTCGAATTGTGTCCGAAGTGCGACGGCCCGCATGCCACTTAGCACGCATCGGAAATTGAGTGGCCGTTAAAACCTGCTACGGCCTCGATATGCAAAAAGACACTCCAAGAAAACCCAGGCCGCTATCACGAACTTTTGATCATCCAGCTGTGTCGACATAATAGGCTGCTAAAATGAGGGTCTACCTAGCCGTTATCGCAGTTCTAGGGGGGTCACTAGCTCTTGCCCAGTCATACGACTACATCATCGTTGGGGCTGGAACAGCTGGGTTGGTAGTTGCGAATCGTCTTTCGGAGGACCCGTCGGTGAATGTCGTCGTCGTGGAACCTGGCACGGATGAACGAGACAATCTACACATCAAGGGGACCGACCAGTTCGCCCAGGCGTTTGACACTCGGCTCGACTGGAACTACACCACTATACCGCAAGTCCATGCGGGCGGCAGGTCCGTGACACTGCACCAAGGCAGAGTTTGGGGCGGGACCAGCGCAATCAATGGTAAGAGCAAGACGGTATCGCATGTTCGAGCGCCAGACTAATATTTGCAGGTATGGCCTATGTGAGGGGCAATCGCGCCGAGTTTGATGTTTGGGAAGGACTTGGAAATCCTGGGTGGAACTGGGACACTATGCTCCCATACTTTAAAAAGTCGGAGAAGTACTTCATCCCCCGGGAGGACCAGTTGGCTGCCGGTGCATCCTATGAACCGCAGCACCACGGATTCAAAGGCCCACTGCATGTTGGTCTGGCCCCCGCGTTCACCAATACTTCGGCCTCGCCTCGTCTACACGCGGCGTGGGAGAGCCTTTCTGTCCCGCGCAACCCCGACTTCAACAGCGGCAGCGTTCGGGGGTACTCTTATCCACCATCAACTTTGGACCCGACGCTCAACGTTCGATATGATTCCTCTCGAGCATACATACATCCTGTCGAACACCGTCTCAATCTGCAAATTCTGCAAGGCACCGTTAAGCGGATTACGTGGGCTCCTCAGCCGCGCAAGCAGACAAAATGCCAGGGGAGAGGGTTAGTCGCAAATGGGGTTGAGTATTTGACCGAAGCAGGTGAGATGAAAACCATTAGAGCCACAAAAGAGGTCGTGGTGTCTGCTGGGGCAATCCGGACGCCAGGTGTGCTCGAAGGCTCAGGCGTCGGTAATCCTCAGTAAGTATCCGTCTTAGAGTTCGCATTTGGTCCAAACTGATGGGAGAATCGGCAGGATACTCAAAGCTCTTGGTATCGAGACCAAAATCGATCTTCCAGGCGTCGGTGAGAACCTTCTGGAACAACCTCATCATACGCTCGTGTATGATGGCAACCTTGAAGAATCGACCAACGCATTTTATACGTACCTAACTGCAGAGAACCTTTTCGGTGACCGGCTGGCAGCCGTGGAGGCTTCTTCTCGTGCTCGCATCCCCGAGTTTGCTAGGGCATCAGTCAATGCCTCAGGAGATGGGGCGCTGAATGTGACTGTGATCGAGAAACTATTTACGATTCAGCACGACCTCATGTTCAAGAAGAACGCCACCATTGCCGAGATCCTCACTATCATTGCAGTGGGTCTTCAATTTTCGGACTACTGGATCCTATTTCCCTTTTCCAGGGGCAGCGTTCACCTGTCGTCTAAAGAAAGCATCGACAAGCCGCTTTTTGATCCTCGTCTCATGCTCGCAGACTTCGACGTTCAAACAACTGTCGCTGCAGGACGATTGGCCAAGAAGTTCTGGCAATCAGAGCCGGTAGCTGCTAGTGTGGGCGGTCAGGTTTTGCCAGATGCTGCGACATTGCCCGATGATGCCACTGATGCACAATGGGAGACGTGGGCGCGAAACAACGGTGAGCCTTCATGACAATTGTGGAACAACAGATGATCTGATAAGATTGACCCAGCTGTTCCCAATGCACACCCGATCGGCACAGCCTCCATGATGTCGAGGGAGCTAGGGGGTGTGGTTGACCCAGAGCTGAAGGTCTACGGCACAGCCAACGTTCGCGTCGTCGACGCATCGGTAATGCCCATCCAGACCAGTGGACATCTGACCTCTACAATCTATGCCTTAGCAGAGAGACTGTCGGACATCATCAAGCACACTGCCTAAGCAGGTTACTAGGCAGCGTTCGAATCGCTGAGAGCAAACAGGCCCAACATAAGAGCATATCAAACAGCGTGAAGGATCCGGTGCGACATTGAAAAAAACAGATTTGTGTTCAATCACCGCCTTTAAAAGAACAAGAAGGAAACGCGAGGATTTCCCAGCAAAGCATTATTGGCAACAATCGAAGAACCCACAGCCACCACCTATTTTCCCTGAAAGATCGCAGAGGAGGTGGAACTAACGTCCACGCACAGAGCATTAATAATCCAAACGCAAATGACAATAAAATACCATTCGATTCTCTCATATCAGTAACTGACTATGTGATTATTAGTGATTTGTCGCCATGGTAATCGTGCCGAGGCCGCCATAACGCATGGACATGAGGGGTAATCTGAATGCAGCCACCACACCAAAAGTACCATCACCACCACAAGAAGTTCGACGCACGGAACCAAGATCCGCGCCTCCGAATGACATGCCGTGGCACAGAATCACACTTGAAATCGCGCGGAAGCCAATGATAGGACGCAGTAACCTGTCAGGTGTGACCCCTACTTCGAAATAAGAACGGCACGGCCCCGCATCGGCGCAACGTATCAGTAACTGCCGTGCGCTACCTCGGCACGCCAGCGGAATATTCTAATCAAATGTTCTCACTTGAACAACTTTAAAAACATGAGTACGCCTCGGCAAGGATTTCTTAATCTGCGTCTCATATCCTCATTAGACCAGCTACAGAATCATTTCCTACAGAAAAGAGTCACAGCAGCGACATCCAGCAATTATCGCTAATTCCCATTCATAAAAGTCACGCTCATTCCACCGACAGCTCGTTGACTCGTCACGCTTAGTACGTGTAGCGGAAACCGCGCTGCGAGTCCTCCTGTGCTCTGTTAGTCTCAGGGTACCACCAAAGTTGGTTGCAGGAGAGCGGGGACAAAGAACTTACCTCGTTGTTCTCCAGCTCCTTCTCGCCGCGCTCAGCCTTGCCGTTCTGCCTCTTGAAGTCGAGGCTCAGAATACCGACAAGGATGAGAGTAAGCAGGCAGCAGGCAATGCAAGCATACATGCCGGGGCGGTAATGGGGCATGTCCTGGGGGCGGAAGAGCAGGCTGCCAGCGATGCCGCCGACGCCGCCAAAACTAACCAGAGTGGCGCTGCAGAAGGCACGCTTCCACTGGCCACGGATGTTGTTGGCCTGGTAGGCCATGACGGCGGGGATGTTGGAGTTGGCACCAGCGGTGACGAGGAAGACGCCAAAGTAGCGGACATTGGAGTTGGGGTGGAAGCCCATAATGGGGAGGCCGATGAGGCAGAGGACAACGTTGATGATGATGATGGGGCCACGGACTCGGTACTTGTCGCCGAGCCAGGCCGTGGCGAACATGACGCAGCCGGCAAAGGCGTAGGGGGGGGCGACAAGGCACTGGGCCTCGCCGACGGTGAAGCCCATGTTGATCTGGAGGATGATGGGCAGGAAGTAGGCGAGGGCATATGACAGGGTGGTCGTGTTGAAGAAGATCATCGCGTAGGCCCAAATCTTCCAGTCGGCGCCGGCAGCGAAGAAGCGGCGGGCGTTGAAGGGGGGCGTCTTGGCATCGCCACGGTCATGGTTCACGCGGTCAACGACCCACTGGAGCTCGCGCTCGCCGAGGAAGTTCCAAGTCTTGCGTCTCGAATCGGGGAAGTCGACAAGCAGCCAGTAACCGAGGAAGGCGAGAAGGCAGGTGATGATACCTTCGATGATGAAGATCCAGCGCCAACCGGTCAGGTTAGCGAGGCCGTTCATCTGCATGAGGCCGTAGGCCAGAATGCCAGCAAAGGCGGAGGCGACGCATCCGAGGAGGTAGAAGACAGAGTACCGCTTGCCGACCTCAACTACGCCGAGACGTCAGTATGATACTCAATCAACTGCGACGAACATCATTAACAAGATCGAAGGGCCACACGTACATCGGGTATACCAGGTGCTGAGAAGGTAGACGCAGCTGGGGAAGAAACCAGCCTCAAGGACACCAAGAAGGACACGGCACACGGCGAGGTGGGTGAAGTTCTGAGAGAAGCCCATGCCGATCATGACGCTACCCCACATGAGGCAGATGCCTGCGAGATGAATGCGAGGTCCCAGCTTGCGGACGATGATGGTCGACGGCGGCTGGAAGAGGATGTAGGGGATGAAGAAGACAAGCGACGCGATGCTCTGTGAGTATCCCACAGTGGTCAGCCAAGGTGTACCCATTCACAGGCACTGACGTCGAGGGACTAGGGGAATTGCATACGTATCGGTTCTGGACAATGAGGTTGAGCTCGACATTCATGCCGGCAATGGCGGCGGCCGACAAGTTGGTTCGGTCCATGAGGGAGACGCAGTACATCAAACCGACGATGACGACGAGGCGACGATCGACGCGCCTGATGATCTTGCGCTGCTCCTCAGGCGTGAAGCCATGGTCGGGGGCGGAGGAACCAGGCGTGCGGACGCCATCGCCCGAGTCGACGCGGTTCGCCTTGTCGCCAATGTGCTCGGTCTCGAAGTCCTCCTTCTCGAGCTCACGATCGCGTGTGCTCATGATGGGCAGGCTGGATAGGAGGGTGTGAGCGGGTGAGTATGGGATGAAGCTGTTCGGGAAACAGCTGGTGAGATACTGGTCTTGGTTCTGTCGTGTCGTCGTTTGTGCACCCCGAGACGTTTTTGGGACCTTGAATGATGGGATGAGAGAGTCTTGGGCCTACCCTTTTCTCTCCTTGCATCGGATGCCAGGAAAGCTTCTCACCCAGACCTTTTGTAGATCGACCGGCGACGTGTCCCAGAGCAGACGAGACCCAGGCCAGGCCACACCAGACCCATACCATGGGATCGGGACCCCTCCCATCACTTTCCACCCTCACCTACCTGTTCATGGGGGCCCCATTACGCATCACGCACTACGGACCTAGCACCTTGCACCACCCGGCAAGCTCCACGCGCCTTTCCCCAGCTTTGGCTGGGCTTGCCTTGCCTGGCGTTGCCCTGCCTTGAAAGGGGGGTGACAAGCCGCTCTGGCGCTGCTCGGAAGAAGCACACAGACACGGTTGCGAGAGCCAATCAGACAAAGAAGAGCGAGCAAAGATGCCGAGGGTGGCGGTCTTCGACAGCCATGAGCGTCTTGGCCAACCGTCTGACTTAGTGGGAGCACATTGTCTGGGGCAGATAAACTCGAGCGTCTCGTGCAAAAGGGGGGGGGGGAGGAGGGCGCCGCAATGGACGACAAATCTGGGGAATGTGGGCTACCCGAGTGCCCCCATCTCGCCCCGGCTGCGGGGTAGAACCTAAGCCGGACGCACAAGAGTCAGTTAACCCCGATAGCGACCAAACACCTGAGAGGAGCGGAGAGACACACAGAGTGCGAGAGGAGAAATACGGGGAAGCAGGGAGGTGGAGTGAACCAGGGGTGGCCCCAGAGCCCCAGTCAGGGCCCACGACCGACCGCAGCTGATGATGCTCGTGCTGCTGCTTCTGCTGCTTTGCTGCTACGCCCCCCTCCTTTTCCTCCATTTCCTTTCCCCCCTCCAAAGCCGCCCTCATTCAAAGCCAACCGGTACTTGGTGCGGCCGATTTCTTGGCACGACGCCATAATTGGTCCAGTCAACGGTTCATTGCCCGTTTTGGTGCTAGATGCGAAAATCCATGAGCATCTCGCTCGTCTGGTTGCGTTTGTATGACCCCGTCAGAAGGCTGTTCTTCCCCGGAGGACGGAGGGGGGCGCATGGATACGGTGGGTGCTGTGGATGCCTGGGGGGCCTCCTCAAGATGGATCAGCATGTGGTGCGTCGTCGACTGTTCGCTCATCGTCATGGTCGGTGACACATTGGCGTGTTTACCATATCCGGAGCGCATACCCTTCTGAGCCTCTTGCGCCGTTCAAACTCTTGTACCAGCTCCTCTTTGCTCCTCTTTGCACTCACGCGTAGGCGCGCGGGGAGGACGCATGGCACGGCACGAACGGAGGAGGGGCGTGCTGAGGTTGAGGGCATGATCGCGATGCGGCCAGTTCCGACTTTGGCCACTGTCAAGAGACAGTTATGGGGGGAGAACGGGCCAGGCCAGGCCAGACCCTGTCCCCCGAAAGGCACAGACAGAGGGCATTGACAAAAAGGGCGCTCTCTCGTTCGTGTGTTTCCCAATATTGGGTCGTCTCCATCTTCTTCAGACACCGGTTGCATGTCTCGTGGTCATTTCGTTTCATATCAACTTGCATGCTCACTGCTCACTGCAATCCTTTGACTCTCGATAGTACGAAAGAAACGTCCGACGCCACAGACTGTTCATTCCCCCGCCATCTGGCGATTCTCCAAAACGCCAGACACCAAGCCCGATATAGAGCGTGCCTCGGCAACTCTACTCTTCCTTCATCCTCTCATTGGTTCATCTCCCTCTTCTTCCCAGCCCTTCCCTTCCCCGCACATCTATCTCTCCCTTTCCCTCCATGTCAGAACCTTGACAACGCAAACCAGCCTTAGCTGACAAGACGCGTGCGTTCACGCCCAGGGAATCCTGAGCTAAGGTAATTCTAACGTCCAAGAGGCTGCATGCCACGCGCTGAACGTGGGCACCACGATGTGCCTACCGTCCGCCACATCTGCATGCCACGCCATGGCGATCCAACTCATGACTGCCAGCCAACAATTTCACATGTGCGGCTTACAATCACCTCGCAAGTTTCGCTCAAAGCGGCAATGCTCACGATAGAAACGTTCTTGACTGCCACTCCTAGAGCTCTTTCTGCTTAAATTGTTTTTTTCGATCCTTCGTGATAGACTCCTGTTTGAGTCTCCCACGCCACGTCACCTCGACCCTACATATGCCTCGCTGGGCTGAATCTAGACTCATCACACCGAGTGAAACAGCCGAGGCATCCTCAGAAGATCTCTATTATACTCCTGACGGGCGACTGAGTGGTGTGCATCCTGCGGGACATGTCGGGTCATGAGGCTGAAGGCCGAGAGATGAAGTCTTGGTGGCTTGGTGATGGCCTCGGTTGTCGGCCGGGCATGGTGTTGCGTTGACTCTCTGTGTTGTTTTGGGAGATCATAGCTCCCGCCTCGCTCAATCGATGCTGCTCTTTCTGCTTCTTCTTTCTTCCTTCATTGCCTGATGAACTTCGCCTTCCTCCCAACTTTTACTACTACGTGCATTCCATTTGCTGCCGCCGGTTCATTCGCATCATCTCAAAATGCATCACGAGGCGGTCCACCATTCCGGTGTCTTCTGGCCGTAGGAAGGCTTTGAATCTCTCAAACAGCCGGACCAGAATGATAAGCTCTGGCTCATCCCGACGATCTGGATCCTGCCTCTTGCATTTGTCTTCCACCTTGCTGTAAAAAGACGGCAATGGTGTCGACGTAGCGCAAAGGTGATACAATCTGCTATACACTTCAATATCTTGTCCCAAATCCAGCAGCCCTTTCACTATACAGCTACGCCAGTACCCCACGAGCCTTAGATACGACCCCAACCTCATGCGGCTGTCATCCGGGGACGCATCAAAAAAAGGCAACCCAAACCCGTCCCAGCGGTCCCGAGACGCCCGTATGCCATGCCCCAGCTCTGAACCACGATGCACCTTCCCTCGCAGAGTCAAGCTTTGTGGCTATGTACCCCCTTGGTGCATGTTGTTGGCTTGGCCACCGGGCAAACAATCTCAAAGCGGACAGTATTGGCCGAAAGGGTGCATCACATGGGCGCCAGTCGTGTCAGATGAGATTTCCGGGGGGGGGACGCGATCAGGACGGGGTCCATGATGCGGGGAAGAGGATCAGCTCGCCGCTCACACATGAGATGCATCTTGGGTATGGCCCTCTTCCAGGCCTGAATGGAATCGACAGGGCGTTATGTTTGTGCCAAATCAAACTAATTGGTGCTGTCATACCCAGGATAAGCTTGCCCCTTGCTAGGGTTTCCAAGCGAAACCGAGAAATCGAGCGCAATCAAGCCCGAAGCCAATATCAGATATAGTCGATACCACGTTCCGCAAAACCTTGTCCACAATATCTTTCGCAGGGAGTTCTCTGTCATATTTCCTCAGATCAGACCTCCGCGCATCTTGCCACCATTGCCATTGATGTAGGCATGGCAGCACTCAATCGAATCGAACGTATATGATGCGTCACGACATGCATCGAATTCAGTGGACTGACATCAGACATGCAGAGGCCGCGGCCGCAATATTTACTATTAGGGTCCAGAGATAGTCCCAGCTTTCGTTCCCACAATCTGTCTGGCTGACATGTTCCCGCGTGCCGTTCAAGGGATCATGCACAGGACCTCCCAGTTCCCGGCCCCTCAATCACGACCAGAATCCCAACTCTGCATGGCTACCAGTCCCGAAAAAGCTGACCAAAAAACAACGCTGGTCTCTGTATTGAGGAGGTTCAGCGTAGTGTTCTGTTGTTCTGGTTCCTTCGTTCCCCGGCCAGGCATACAAGCTTGTAGACGCCTTCTCCAGCAGAACAACAATGCCGTCGTCTCAAGTCCATCCCGAACCTTCAAAGGAACAAGCCGATCAGGGCGAGACGCATGTGGTTCTATGCGGCAACGGCTACCATGCGGCATGGAACGTTGTGTAACCCTGGCAAGAACTCAGAAAAAGAGAAAAGAAGAAAAGAAAAAGACCGCAAAGCCCCGGCATGTCCAGACTGATCATGTCCTAAAACACCGCGAGCCACAGTGTCACGAGAAACCCGTCGGTCACCGGCACCACCGCTCAATCCATCGTCATCGTCAAGGGGGTAGCGAAGACTTACCAGCGGCATCACACCCAAGTGTAAGCACCCCGTGGAACAAGTACAGCGGCGGCGCAGTGACTCCGTTGCACAACAGATCGCACAAATTGGTGTCTTCTGTTGTGGATGGATGACGCAGGGATGCGATTGGCTTTTCGGCAAGAAGCTTCGCACATTACATTCAACACAATAATTTTATTTGCCTCAGTGTTATGTGCTGCGACGTACATGTAGCTGCAGTGGAGAAAGTCACGTGGGCCGGCTGCGGAAGTACTATAGTGAAGCACTAAGCCTTCCTACGCGGGCATCACGATAGGCACGCGACGGGGAGCAGACACGGCATCTGAATCATACTCTATTGAACGAACACCTGGGGATCACGATCATGACCCCATGCTAACAAAACAGAAAGCGTCTACGCGACGCCGACCTTGTCGCAGGCCGAAAACAAAACATGGCACCATGAACCGATTGACCCAGCTAACCAAACCATGGTAGCCATCTAAAGCCGAAAGCAATGCAGAGCTATATTAAACAACTGATTCTTGATCGCCATCGGGCAGCCACCGCGGGGGAATCTGTATACATGCGTGGCAACCCTTCCCTGGTGCACAAGTCGCGCCTAGAGCACGACCATGGCACCGCCGACGGCGGCCGCGAGGACGACGTACAGTCCGACGGCGTAGTCGCCGACAGAGAAGGCCTGCTCCATGCGGCGGTTGGTGAGGCCGAAGCTCGCGTTGTCGTCGGCGTTGCTGCTGCCGCCGTTGGTGCCACGAGCAGGCGCGGCGGTCGCAGTGGCGGCAACAGCGTTGACGGAGGAGGCAGCGGAGAGCTTGCTGTTGCAAGAAGAGGCAGCAGAAGGAGAAGAGATGCGCTCAGCGTTGCCGTCAAAGTTGCAGGCACTGGCGGCACTGTTCTGGGCCTCGAAGTACTGGTTCATGACGAAGCCGAGCTTCTGGGTAGCGTTGCACATGGAGTAGGCACCGTAAACGCCAATGGTGGCGTTGGTAGAGATGCCAGCGCAAACTGCAGGGTTGTTACCGCAGATGTTGCCGAAGATCTCACCATACTCCTTGACGCTGACGGAAGACTTGACGTTGCAGGACAGGCTGTTGAACATGCACTCGCAAAGCTCCTGGTCAGGAGTAGGAGGCAGACCGTTGGAGCTGACCTGCCAGTTCTCGCCCAGGTCGGGGCAGACGGCAGGGCTGTTGGTGGGCTCGTAGTTGGCGCTAGCGGTGGAGGAGGCAGTGGCGGCGTTGACGCGCGAAGAGAGGACCTTGTAGTTCTTCATGACCTCAGCCTTGCTATCACCCTTGAACTTGACGAGGCCGTAGTCGTTGTCTTCCTGGTGGTACATGTAGACGATACCGCCGGAGAAGACCTCGCTCATCTCGTCTGAGTACAGAGCAGTGGTGTCCTGGAAGAGACGGCCCTCAGCACCGTCAGGGACGTTGCAGCCGTACTCGGCAAGGAAGACGGGAACAGAGTAGTTGCTGAAGAACTCGACCTGCTTGTCATAGCCCGACTTTTGCATGGAGGACTCGCCACACCAGGAGTAGATGTTGTAGCCCCAGAAGTCAATGGCCTCCTCCTCAGGACCGCAGTTGAAGTAGTGAGCAGAGGGACCACGAATATCAGGGTCGTCGTTGGCGGCGTAACCGACGCCCATCCAGCGGTAGTTCTTGGACTTGATGTAGGCCTTGGTATCACGGACGGCAGCCTTCACAAAGGCGGAGGCGTCGGTGTTGCTGGCGTTGTTGGAGACCTCGTTGCCGGCGAAGAAACCAATGGTGTTGTCGTACTGGGCGAGCTCATCGATGACAGCGGTGTAGCGGTCCCAGACAGCGACATCCCAGTGGGGGTCGTCACGGTTGATGGACGTGTTGGGCTCACCAAGATCGGCGACGACGTAGATACCAGCATCCTGGAGCAGGGTCATGCACTTGGTGTGGTCCTTCTTGGGGTCGATGGCGTAGACACGGATGGTGTTGGTGCCGGCGGCAGACAGGATGGGGACATCGCGCTTGCACTTGGCGTCGTCGGCAAGGGGGTCGATGTACTTTCCGTCCTCGTTCTCACCACCGAGACCCGAGGGGTCCTCCTGGTAGGCAATACCCTTGATGAAGAACTGGGTGCCGTTCTCGTAGAAGAACTTGGAGCCCTGCGGAAAGAGAAGAGATCAGAATCAGGTCAAGTGAATCCATTGGAGCAGCGAGAGGGACGACGTACCTTGGTGACGATGGGGTCGAGGGCAGCAACCTTGCTGGCGAGGAGCAGAGCCGAAACGGCAGCGGTGGAAAACTTGCCCATGGTGACTGGTTGTGAGTTTCGGTTGGTCGAAGTGACAGGCAGAAAGACACAGGCCGAAGATGGGGTGGGAGGGTGCAGGTTATCAACGTGGAAGGCTGTCGAGGGAGACTAGTTTCTCGTTGTTGGAATGCTGTTGGGCTGAGACCTTGGATGCTTGGCTTGCGGAGTCGAAATGTTCGTCGAAGGCGTTTGGGGCTTGAGGCGCAAAAATCTTGGAGAGGGTTGGTTTTGGATGGGGAGGGACAGACTGGGGTTCACAAAATAAAAACAAGTAAAGAGGTTTGCAAATGAGAGTGTGAAGTCACAGTAAAGTGATGATAAAAAAGCGCACGAGCAAAGGACAGGCTCGAAGACTCTCTCTCTCCAGAAAACGAAGGACGGCGAGATGTCGAAGTGTTGACGTTGATGGGAGAAGGAAGGAAGGGAGAGGAAGGTCGCGGCTCGTCCGGAGGGGGCAATTGTGGTTTTGTCGGACGGCTTGGCTCCTTAGCTGCCGCCTCCTGGTTCCTGGCTGCTCCTAGCTCCTCTCCTTCTCGCCTGGTTTGAGCGTCCTGGATCTCCTGCCTCGTATCCACCGGACGGTAGGCGTCCCCGCACGCCGAATGCGAACCCGCCTAGCACTCGACCAGGCGCAATGGCCACTGTAGCATCATCTACTGGCACTGGGCCATTGGACCTGGCGATTGGCAACCGCTACTACACTGCCTTTCAAGCAGGAACCTGTGGGCTACGAGGGGCCCATTGGCCAAAGGTTTGGCCAGGCGCCTGGCAGTCAAGGGGGCGCAGTCATGAAGGATGGCAGAGGTACCCAGAGTTCGTGTGTGTTGCCTGCCAGTCTTGGTGTTGGGCCAGCCGAGCTGCAGGTACCGGTTCATCTGCCAGAGGTTCCATCTTCATCTCGTTTCACCCATGGGAGCGGAAGGACCACAGTGCCAGAACGTGCGCCGCCCAGGGGGTGGATGGTTGATGCTCAGGGGAAAATCTGTTAGCTCATCGAGAAGCCCTAACAGGCCAGCACTGGAGTCCACGCTCGCCTTTGTTAGTGACAAGCGCACGCCTTTGGCATCATCCCTGCCACAGCCTCCCCATTCAGGTCAGGCGGCTGGCACTGATCGTCATCTCGCACAGTGAGCGATGCGAGGGCCTAGCGTCTTGTCTCCTGATTCTGGGCCGCGAGGAAAGAAAGGGGCAATCTCCACCCCCTGCAACTGCACCCTTCATGCCTCCATCTTCGCTGTCAGCCTAACACCTGCACTTGCTCTCTCGTACTGGTCGTGACGAACCTGCCCACTGGCAAGAGCAAGGGCCCGTAGAGTTGCGAGACGGGTAGGTAAGACATGATGGGCGAGCAGATGGATGAGCACGCCGTTCGGTGTTCGCATGCTTCGCATTCTTCGCATTGTCAGCCTTGCCACCTACCAAAGGTACCACCTACTACTCTACGGCACCTCAAGGCACCTAGGTAGGCAGTCCATTCATCACACCAGCTCCAGATTCCAACCACGCATCGTCTATCGCCCCGCCATTCCAGGTGCTCACTGGCCTACTTAGGCAGTGGGAGCAGGCGATGCGATGACCTTTGCGGTGCAACAGAAGATCACTCCAACTTAAGACTCCTGGCATCCTGATATGGGGTGGTCGGGACCAAGACAACCCGTCGTGTCGAGACACCAAACACAATCAGACGTCAGCGCTTCATCCCTACCCTCCAAGGATTCCAAGGGCTCCAAGGGCTCCAAGGGCCCCAAGGGCCCCAAGGGCCTCACACCGTCTCGTCAATCTTGGTTCTTTCGAAGCAGCTTAATTGACACTTCAGCTCAAGTTTTGGGATCCATCACTGGGCATCCGGTCCACAGCCCAGATCAACATAGGATGCCCCACCATGATGACGACGCCTATCACGGACGACGTCGGCTTGTCAAGACAGTTCAGACATAACCATCGCCCGTCATCGCCGCACTGGACCATACCTCGAGCCCCCTTCAAGGAGTCCATGATTCGACCGAGACGTATTTTCACACACTGTTCATGGTTGTGGTGTGGTGGCGATCGAATTGCTTGCTACTGGCGAGGGACTGGAACGAGCCACTGAGCGAGCAAGCACCAGAGCGCACCCCAGCCGTCTGGAGGCTCGTTCGAGGCGATCTATTGGATGGGAATAGCCCGACGCCCGACTGGAACCGCCGCCATTGACTCCCCTGATCATCTTCATTCCGCCTGGCCCCTCTCTCCTCGCATGTCTCTCCTCGCCTGGTCACTCACTCGACCTTGGTCGCTTCGTCGCGAGATGCTGGCCCAGTTTTCCTGTTGCACTGCCCCTTCTGGGCCCGCAAGTTTCAAACGCCCTGTCGTCGCAGACATCCATCAGATCAGAGATCAGATTCCGGTGCGCACCACTCTCCCGTGCATGCTCCGTCGCCCTTGAGCTCGCAGCAAGTCAAACGTCTGTATGTAGTCTGGTGATCCTGCGCGCCTTTTGCATGATCGACACGTCCGACATGGCGAGCGACTCGCCGGCCCGGCTCTCTACGTCATTTTCCCCGTCCATCGCATTCAAGCGTCGAAATGGGTTGAAACGGGCAAGTGCGACGTCTGTATGTTTGTTGCAATGTTCAGCCTGGTGCCTCTGATTTGGCCATGCTAATCTTGTCGCTTGTTTCATCGAAATCGTTTGCCGGCCTGTTTTGTGCAGTGTTTGTTGCTTGAGCGGATTTTATGTCGAACATCTTCATCTCCCTCCCAGCTTGAACCATGCGCGTCCCACAACCTCGCAAACCCCATCCCAAAATTCGGATGTCTCCCGCCAGGCCGACATCAACGGCCCTCGGTGTCGTTGTCCGTATTCACGCACCTCACGGGACTCAGAGTATTGTCTTTGATGGGAACGGGCCGAATGAATTTCCGGTGGGTACTCAGAGTCGTAATACGACTGCCGTCTGGCGTCGTCCCCGTAGGTGTCATCTCGTCGTGTCGAATTCATTTCGCTTGACGGTGCGAATGAGGCCTACAATCTTGCTGCGACTGCGCTTGCAAGTGCCTTGGTGGTTCGTATTTGTCTCGAGAGGAATCTTCTTTATATGTGTTTTTTTTTCAGTAGAAGGGCGCCCATCTGCCTCGTCGCCGATTGGGCTGCTTCGCGTCACCGGGCGCGGGCTGTACATCATCACCAGACGACTGCGCCTGGCCTTCAATCAGGCACCAGGCCAGCCCGGACTAGTAATCCTTCTAATCCTCGGTCGGCCGACCTGTACGCGGATCCTGTAGTCACTCCGTCCCTCCCTCTCGAACGTGCCTTGTCCTTGGCAGCCCGACATACTGATGGTGTATCGAGACGAAGTGGTGGGGGCGCATTACGATGGTTCCCTGCTGTCATGCGGCACGGACGCTTGATTTGACTTGAAGTCCTGCTTTGTCAATCGGCATGATGTGTTCGAGTCGGCCTTCAGTGGCTGGCATGCAGTGCATGCAGCTCCTTGATCTACAGTAAGCTTGCATCCGCGCTCTAATGTTGATCGTCCGAAGAGATTCGGCCTGCATTCATTCAAGAAACGAGTGCCTATTCCAATGGGACTTGTTCCTACCCAGCCTCGATTCTCTTCATGAGCATGGTCTTCGCAGCGCCCTCCTACATCTGCCGACGAAGCGACGATGTTTACCCTCAATATTATGATACTCCAGGGTAGTGATAACCCAAACTAACATCTCGTTCAATTTTTTTCCGGGGTTAATCTTGTTGGCCCACCTACGTTAAGTTTGGTCGCGCCAGAGATCTCAGAATGAAAGAGCCAGTATCGAATGAGGTAAGAGTCATAGATCAGGGGTTTGGTGGTGGACAGAGAAGCTACATATGTTCACCATACAAATTTCGGAGAACATCGCAGAGTAAATCAACCAGTACAGGCGTTCGAGCGTGGTAAGGAGAGTGAGCAACGCCGCCAACCGCGACATCCCTTCTCTTTAAGCTGTAGACCCTTGTGGCTTAGGGAGAACTGGCTGCGATGGCCTTCTGGTCAGATGGATGGCGATGACTGGGTAGATTCCAAGCTTCGATATAGAGCTGTGGGATAAGAACGAGCTTCGATGTTACACAGCTTGTCGGATTTCTGTAGAATTCGTGAAAAAGGTAAAGAGAGGCCTGAGCTGTGGTATCCAACATTGAAGCTTTCCCATTAATATTAATGCCCAGTAAAATTTTGTAACAAGGGCCTTCATCTAGTATATCTTCTGTCAATCCCCAATCATAAGAACTCTCGTCCGGGAATAGGGTCAGCTGGTAGGTCGATTGAGACTCTTCAACAAACTATAGCGTTAGAAGAGAGGGGGTATGACCAGCTGTCAGTGAATATTATACTCAAATTTGATCCTCATTTGTCTTGATCGAACCTCGCCCAGGTGATGAGACAAAACGGGAGACCTTGACGGCACATGCCGTCGTCTATTTATCTACAACCTACCAATCACTCACTAAACGTCGAAGCTCGCTGGAACGTCATCTCACTCGGTCAGCTCTTCTCATGGGTGACTATATTCAGGGATGGGAAAATCTCTCTTTCATCGCTGTGATTGTCGAGGATCTAATCCTTTAATCGCGTTTATCATCTGGGGAGCCAGTTTCGTTCACTTGCTGTTCCTCCACCCGAGCGTGATGCGGAGACTCTATATCTTCTCTTCATATGCCCTGTTTCTGGTCGCTTAGGTTGTTTTGCGATCCTCATGGCCTTGCTCTTCAGCTTCCTTGAGATCGAAGGACACTCGAGTCCCACTCTGGTCGCCCGTATCAAGCGAGTGATGGAGTCATTCGAGGTCTCAACAACTCAATACATAGGCGGCTGGACAGCCATGCAGCCTTTGTCATTTATGAAATTGCCCGAGTCCGCATCCGTTTGTCATGTGCTGGACTAAGTGCTCGATGTTGTTCGTCCGAATCGATGTCATGCTCTTCGGCGGAACCTGCGTCTCCAACTGAGATGCACTCATCAACACTCAGATCACTGCTGACGTCGGCGGTTGCGGCATGATCTCTACCTCCTAGCCAGCCTTTGTCCACGAAATCACGCAGCAGCAGAATATCGCTGTGGCGATGGGGTGTATCGCTCGTCATAATAAATATTGGATCAACCAACCACATGAATGAGTTGCCCCACGGTCTCTGCAATTTTTGGCGAGCTTAATATTCGCGTTGACTGATAATTCTCATCAATCTTGAGACAGCTGGCTTGTACAAGCATCCGTTCTGCAAGCACAAGGAGCATCCCATCGCCGAAGTTCAGGCTGATTTCCTTTTTGCCATCTTTGGCTCGTTTGTGGCTGCCGTGGAGCATTCCCTGCGCCAACCAACCAAGGAGGGCATCAGCATAGCATACAGCGAGTACGACGATGGTGATAAATTTGTTCAGCTTCAGTCAAGGCCTGAGTACAAGGGCACTTGGAGTACTCTGCTGCCTGTTTGGGGTTCAAACACCGCTGCTTCACCTGGCACAACACTAACGACAAAAATCGGATCTGAGAAATAAGAGACTGAAGCATATGCGCGGCTAATTGACATTTATATTGTAGAACACAATGAGAACAACGGTCGATTCGATCAAGCTCTTTGCGTAGACCATTTGCTAAAGCAATTTTCCTTATCGGCGGCACATATACAAGGCCGTCCATGCGATGCCTTTCATCCTACACTGAACATGTACTTAGTCACCAGCGCCAAATACCACAAGCTTCTGAATCTGACACCAGTCCTCGATGCATGCACTTACAAGCTGAAGTCCTCAGGTTATCTTGTCCATGGCATTTTGCGTTTTGCATAATTAACATAGAGACAAGATCTTTGTTTCATTACTATAACACGATCCATGGCTGCGCAATTCATCTTCATTTTCATGACAGAACCGCATTCATTTGTTGACACTACGCCCATGAGCGACGAAAAGTGGTACAACAGTAGTACAAAACTGTCACGACTCGACAAAGCTCTGGGTAAAGATCGACCGCAGGCCGCTCTAGCCTGTTTGAACATGACAAGTTGTACCTTTACGACCTTGGGGTTAAAATTTTAGGTTCCTAGACCTGAGATTCCGTCAACCTATCAAGGCTCAACACAGAGACTACGGCGTGATCGCACTGGCAAAGATATTCGATCAGAAATGGTCCACATGAAAAACTCGACTGAGAGCAACGGTGATCAGATGTGCCAATCCTGTCTTTGCTGTTTGCTTATGAATAGGAAGGGAGGCAGAGAGTATTGTTGTTTGATGTTCCACGGAGCGTCAGCAAGATGGAGTTGTCTCCATATTGGTCTATGAATACACATCGCGAATCAATAGCCAGACAGCGAGCTCTTTGCCAACTGATGTGCAAGCCATAAATGCCTATTGTGAGTCCTCGGTTAGAAATCACAGCCCATCCGACGATAATTTTGAGCCATAACACTCACGTCAGCCACTCTGCAATGCCGTTCGTCTTCGTGATGGGCCCCAAGCGTGGACTTTAGGCGTATCGGCGTTTCTTGGAAGCTGCCATCAGAAAAAGTCAGATTATTTGCGGGCCATGCAACGTAGATTCAGACTACTTACGAGTGTCTGGCGTATTGACCATCAATTCCATGGACATGCCAGCGCCTGAGATGCTGATACACATCGGAGAAGGGGCTTCAACCACTTCAGGCTGGGGCTCAAGGTTCGCCACGGTCATGATCTGCGACATGGTGCTCGTGATACGCTTCGCACGCGACTTCCGAGAAGGAGTGCCAAGGTGGTATCCTGACTTGGCTGGCGTTGACGGGGAGGGGCGCGGAAGCTTTTCGACCTTGGCGACGTACGCAGCTTGGAAAGTGCGGAATAGTTCGCTCTCGACGTAACTACAATTGTCGCTTCCTTTGAGATGCTCTTGGAAAGGGTCATCGCTGGCCTCCTAGGCCCAACTGACAATTGCGCAAGATTGACACTTCACTGTATCTGGATTCGTTGTTGTTGCAGAAAGATAAAAGCCAGCCTTAGCCATGTCTTCAGCGGAAGGCACGGCGAAAGTCCATATACAGGCTCGGTGGCGTTCGTTTTCCTCGAAGAAAGTCTCAAGACGATCATTCAAGTCGTCCATGATGAATCGCTCAGGTTATCTCTGTAGGTAGAGCGCGTCTTCTCGGAGGTAGTCGTTTATTGAATGTTGGATAGTGAGAGCAGGACGGTTTGGAACAACAGTATTGCGGTGCCCTTGGACCCTACTAGGACGAGGTGGTAAAACTCGGGTCGCTTCGAATCTTGCCGGTTGTCCGAAGAAAGTCAGACAATTGCTGCAGTTCCTATCAGTGGTTATATCAGCTCTTTCTAGACATGCGGGATGCTGTATTTGCAACCAAGTGCTGTGGATAATACAGTGAACAGGCGGTGATCCCCGAGGTGATACTGTGCCTGAGAACTGGCAGCAGCAAGGGCGGCAAGAACCCTATCCTGCCTTCCGAAGCGTCAGAAACAGAGAAACGAAGGCTGCCTAAAACAAAAGTGCTCGTTATATTTTGGTTTAAATCGATTGCTAATAGCAACTGACGCTTTGTTGCTTTCCCAAAGAGACGTTCTCGTCGTTCTGCTACACCCACTCGACGATTATTGCCCAGGTCACATGCCACTGTGGCCAAGCAGATACTAGCAGGGCCAACATCTTCATTCGTGCCTCGAGCAGATGGGTAGTCAGAATCGTAGCTGGAATCGAAAGTCTGTCAAGGGGTGGTGGCCTGCTTGCCCAGCGAAAAGTCCGATGAAACTTGCGCGTCAGGTTAATAACGAGAGACGGAGGTAGCAAGGTCCTCAAAACCGTCACCGTGCCTCCAAATCTCTGATCTGACCAAAATGATCGAGTGCCGGGCTGGTTGATGCTCAATGGTGCGTTTCAAGGTAGTTTGTACTGGTTGGGGGCCTCTCCATGTCGTTCGATCTTCTTCATTCACCGCTCGTCCCTATAGCACGGAAGATATCGGTTCGATGTGGTATGCTCACCGGCGCCAATGAAACTGCCGTCAGAGTGATCGACATATTATCGGACGAGAATATCTCCATAGCGTGCATCGAGCTGCAAGCTGGATCAGCACTCTCATGACAACAATCCTGGCGGTGTTTCCAGAGGCTCTTCGAAGGCATCACATGCGCTGCCTCGGGCCTTGACAGAAGATCCCCTGAAGATCGCTCATACTGAGCGCCCCAAATGTAGAGCAACGTCAAGACGCGCGCGTTGGAAATGAAAGTAGACGTCGCATGGAGATTAGATGTACTTCCTGAGTCAATCCTTTCAGCGCCACTGCAACGACTAATGCTCCATCAAAATAACGACCCCCAAAACAAGGCATTCCCAAAGTAGCATGTGAAAAAAGGGCGAGAAAAACGCCCTCCACCCGGCCTGCCTTCCTCATTCAGTTGGGTGACCCGCCGTCGGACGGAACCCGCCTAACCCCCTTTATCCCACAAGCTCACGAGCACGCTTCCCCAGGATGTTGAACCCGTCGATAGAGGGGAATGGGAAATATGGCCCGCCAATAATCCACTTGTGTACCTTGAACACGTACCTGCGTGCAGAAAGGATGCATACAGCACCCAATGCGCGCTGATGCAATGTCAGCCCGTGGAGCCTCCTTTCGCTTTGGCGATCCGGTGTGGTCGTTGACAACGAGGGTGGTGTCCGGTGTGGCTCCCCCCCCCCTCCCACTCGTTACGCTTTTTGCGGCTGCTCACCTCCGCCCAAACAAGCTTATGGGACGCCCAACCAGATTCGCGGTCGGAGATGAAGGCTGCGGAGGGGGGGCCCGGCGCAGCTGGCGGAGCTGCGCGGTTCTGGGTTCTGGACTGGTCTCAATGGAGTCACGGTGCACTGCGCGCGGGTTCACATGGCTACAGGTAGAAACTGGGCGACAGGGTCATGGCGAATGGAGAATGCAAAGAGATAGGAGGCAATTGGGACCATGCCCTTTTCGTGGAGTTGCATTGATGCACCAGCGGATATCGGATCAGATTGTGCAGATTTCTGGGGAGCAATGAAATGAAGAGTGGATATTGACCTCGAAATGCGCTTCCGGCGCAGTAGGATTCAGGTACATCCTCATGTTGACCAACAACAAAGGAATCGGTATTGATCGCGGCAGGCTCTTTTGGTCGATCGATTTCGTGGCGCTACAGGCTATTCTTCACAAGCCAAAATTCTGACTGACACTTGACAGCCGACACAAGGGCCCCATGGCTTGATCATGGCCTCGGCTTTGCTCAGACGCCAGCTCCCAGCGCCAGGCAATGAGTGCGTCAGATGTCTCATTCCACCGTGTCTGCCGTTCAGCCTGTGAATGAGGTGCTTGGTGCGGGGGAGATTGAGCCAGGGCGCCCACCCCCAGACTTTGCTATGCCCAGCGAATCGAGAGGAGTAGGACCTAGGAAAGGAGGGGGAGAGGGTGGGCGTCGCCGTTGGCGCCCTAAGTTGCTTGACCCAGCAAGGGGACACCCTTGGTCGTGGGCCCTTCCCCCCTTCTTTTCTGCCCGATCTGATGTCCTGCTTCTGGGAGGCGGCCAAGGGTGCCGCCCATGACGGGCGAGTGACCAACGGAAATGGCTGCTGAGCCACCCCTGTCATCGGAGTGGTAAGTTGTATGGTTGTGGCGATCGTCAGGTTGCGTCCAGTACGAGGACACCATCTCGGCTGTGCGTCGCGGTTGGTCCAGCGTTCCTGCGTCCCTCCGAATAGTTTTTGTCATGTGCTTTTGATGCCAGGACCCAAGGCAAGGCAAGGTAGTGGACAATGCAACAGGCCAGGGAAAGGGGGCACAGCCATGAATTTCCCCGAATGCAGTGCTCGAGGAGTAATAAGAAAGAGCTTATTGAGTCACGCAAAGATACGAGTATTGAACCGTATCTGCAGACCCCGAAGCTACCAAGGATGAAATGGATTGACTTGTTGATTGATTGCCATTATGGAGCTGTCTTTCCTGGTTTCCCCAGGTCCCTTGGGGAGACCAGAGCAAAGGCCAGTCAGTACTGTACCCGCAGTCATTCGCCAGGCCTCTCCTTACCTCGCCTTGCCAAGAACCAGCTCGGCCGCCCAACCCCGGATTTTCGAACCCGCTGAGGAGCGTCGAAGGGGGCCCCAGCAGGAAAGCCCATGGAAGACGGCACCAGCACGGAGATGGGGTGGGACGGAAGGAAAAGAGAGACATTACAGCGCCGGCGTCGGTCAATTACTCCTCTTCTCGAATGATAATTGACTTCTCCATTGCAGCAATAACCGCGAACGGCAGCACAATGCATGGAGCGTTGCCAGAAAGCACAAAGGGCCTGAATAGAGCGACTAGAATCCTGAGTAGCGTCTCAGCCGAAATTACCTCTGTCGAGCCACCGACGTGGCTCATCCAACAGACCATCTTCACATGCCGTGACATCTCCCACACCAGACGGCCCTGTGGCCCCTGGCCCTGACTTGCCTCTGCCTTGCTTTGCCGAACCGCCTACTGCAACGGGCAATCCCACGACGTAGCCAGACAACCTTAGAGGCCGTAGACTAGCAAAGACAAAGCGAATCCTGACGAGTCCACACCCCCCTCAGAGCTCCGCACGGGCAGAAGTGGCTTGCTGCACCAACCTGACATCCCGGTGACTGGTCGTCCGCTTCTGGCAGTCAGGCCCGCGCCGATACATCGCCAGGTTGTCGCCCTGGTGTCCGCCCAGTCACTCTGGCCCGCCGTCCTTCCCCGGACACATCTGGGCCCTGACTTGAACCGGGGTACTTCGCCATCATGTCTCCTCATCCTTGCTCTTCACGCAGTCGAGACCTGGCCAGGGGGTCGCCGTCGCCGCTGGAAGGATGGGTGCCACGCCCAGTCCAGGTCCAGGTCCAAGTTCCAGCACCAGCAACCGTCCCATCTCCATGCAACCCATCCGAAGGAAGGTAGCAAGCTTGTGCCTTGCCAGCCTCTCCAGCAGGTTCCTGGGGCGTCTGTTCGATGTCCCGATGCTTCGCGCTCCCGTCAACTCGCCCGCCCCCGGAGCAATATCGCACCAAGCCCGCACCTCCTCCGTCGTCCATAAGAAGCCTCGTCCTCCAGCTTCTCTTCCGCCCTTCTCTTCTTCTCTCTTCATCCACATTCGCTTGGCATCATACAGTACACTCGCTCTTGTACCAATAATCCCCATACCTCGCTAATACCGGTTCATCCTTCCTCCAACCACAACAACCACCCCCCCCCAAAACCATCAAAATGAAGTCTGTCTACGCTATCGCTGCCTTCGCCGCCGTTGTGGCCGCCCAGAGCTCCTCCGGCCTCCCTGAGTGCGCCATTCCCTGCATCCGCGACGCCACCACCTCGGCCACCGACTGCACCTTCGGCGACTACTCTTGCTCTTGCGAGCCTGCCAACAACGCCGCCATCCGCGCCGCTGCCACCAGCTGCGTCATTGACGCCTGCGGTGTTGACGTTGCCCTCAGTATGTGCTCCCATATTGCGTCCACGTTGCTCCCGAGTCGTCCATGCTAACAAGCGCTTCCAGACGAGGTCATCCCCGCCACCGAGGCTCTCTGCGCCAACCCCCCCACCTCCCCCGAGGAGCCCACCACCACCGCTGCTGAGACCACCGCCGCTCCCTCCGCCGTCGAGTCCGCCGTCGAGTCCGCCGTTGAGTCTGCTGTCGAGTCCGCTGTCGAGTCGGCCGCTCCCTCCGGCTACCCCGTCCCTGAGGTCTCCTCTGCCGCTCCCCACCCCTCGACCACTGCGGCTCCCGCTCCCAGCCACACCGGCAACGCCACCGAGCCCGCGCCCACCCACGTCGAGGTTGACGGTGCCGCTTCCCTCGGCTTCATGGGCGTTGCCGCCATGGTCGGTCTCGCCGCCATTGCCCTGTAAGCGTCTTCTCTTCTCCACTGAGAAAGAGTCACGCTCGCGGCGGCAGCATTGCTGGCAACGGCAACACGTTCTCCTGTTCGGAGACGAATGGGAGCACAAAGGATTGTATACAACTCATTTGTGGTAATGGCATGAGGATTCGTCGTCATCGGTCTTCCGACCGGGGACGGCGGTCCTTCCAGTGTTGGACAAAAAATAGTATTTCACTCGGACCTGTAGTTGTCTCGCAAATACACCGACTGATACAATAATGTTAATGCGTCTGTCCATGAGACAACAGCAATCGTGATGAATATCTCGTCTTGTGATGGACTGTCAAAACTGGCATTTCCTGTTTCCCGTGAACTATCCTCCATGGACGAGTTTAGCCGTCGTATTCGACGTGCGGCGCAGCTTTTAAGCGCCGAGTTGCCAAGGTGATCCTGCATATTGGTGGGTGGGATGGCCGACAACCTTCCTGAGGTGCCAGGCCCGGGTTGGGCGCTCTCCAGTTTGATTCGACGGCGGCACGTCCGGGGTAAAAGACCAAAAGCATGATGCAACCTTGCGTTGTTGCTGTAGGCACCACAGTCAGCACAGCCGGCCCTGCCCATTACTCTCAGATATGTGTCTAGGAATCGTACCTTGAGGCGAGGTGACGGGTCCAGGTGAGTTGTTGTCGTTTGCCGTGCCATTCATGTCCTCGGGGGCCAGGACATCACTCCGATCTTTCACCCCCGGACAGAAAGAATGCCCCGGGCGGGGTATTGAGCTCGGCCGAATTGCGCTGTAATAAGCGCCGATCTTCATATCTGGGGTCCCCAGGTTACCTCCTCTGTCGCGTGGACCGAGGCAGCGTGGTTTGATGGCCATGTGATGCCTTTGCTTGTTTGTGAGGACATGTTCCCCCGGACTTTGCAGACGCGCGAATGGCTGACCAGGAGAGAACCTACTTGAAAGATTTGTTGGTCAGTCTTGTTTGTGATCCTTTCGTACCGTGGTCTGGCTTGTCAGGCTTCACTGACGTCGATAGTATACTGACGTGCTTGACATCGGATGGCCGTGCCGTAAGTAATTGCGATCATCGAAATGCCGCGGAAGGTTCATCGACCACGACAATGCATCTCTTACGCGTTCCACTCCTTTTCATCTTGGTATGGTTCCTCGTTCGCAACCTCCTCCAGCTTCCCGCTCTTCAATGCATCCCACCTCTTTTCATTCTCCCTTCGGTCCTCTTCTCCTTTCCATACCCTGCCATGGAGATGCCTTACGCAAACCTGTTTTCCATCACCTGGTGCAAAAAGCCAACAGGCCCATCGCGCCCACTGCCCCTCTTTCATACCGTTCCTTGCGCGTTGGCCGATAGAGTCCTCGATGAACATGCCCCTCCCAATGGCCAGTTGGCTCGGGAATACTCTCTCGAGGTAATGCCTCCTCTCCACGACATGTGGCTTGTCGTGCCAGAAGTACAAGGGCGTCAGTGGCACGACTTCTCCAGTTGTTGGCGCCGAGTACCTTCCCGTCAGAGCGGCTGACAGGTCTCGCAGGACGGGGAACCGGGCGACATGCATCGAAGCCTCGTATTCGACCGTCCGTGGCGACGGCAAACAGACATAGCGGATTGGAGCTGTCGTGCTTGACGTGGAAGCCTGCATGGCGTCGAGGAGATTCGCAATGGGAATGTGCGAGTCGAGCGCCCAGTCGTGCTGGTGAATCCAGACATACGGTGTGTCGGCTTCGCGGAGGGCTGAACGCACAGCCAGGCCGAAACCGAGTCTCTTTTCGGGCTCCATGAAGGTAATGCGTCGGTCCCTGGTGCAGTGGATGTTCATGTCAACCAAATGGCCGCTGGAGCGCCCGCCGGGCGATCCATATTCTGCTCGGGCACGACGGACCTCCCAATCGAGGGAGGGCAAGCTGGGCAGCGTCTGGCTCAGAAACTCGCGCGTGACAAGAGCCTTCACATTTTCCTTGTAGGCGTCGTACACCCGTGCGCCTTCGGGAGTGACCTGACCCTTCTTCAGGCGGGCTCGTTCGACGACATGGTCGTACGTATCGAATACGACAATGACGGGGCAATTGAGCAAAGCCGTGCAGTGAGCGTGGAAGGAGGCGATCACGGCCGACAGGAGATCTGTCGTGGGAGCTGACGGAGTAGGCGACGTCGTGATGATTAGGGTCAGTAGCCTGTCAAGTAAAAATTTCGGCTGCTCTGGCTCCAGCAAAGACGGGGGCATGACGCCTCTTAAAGTCGGTGGTTTTGGGATTGTGAGGAACGATGGCGGATGAAGTTCAATCAATTGCGTGATTGAAATTTCCTGTGGGTTCACTGCTGACCGAGCCTCACCGAGACTTCACCTCAAAACAAAACATTTTGGACGCTTATTGACGGATGAAGGGACTATATCAGGACAAGCTCGATCAGTCTTTTTTTTTAAAAGAGAAAGAAAAGATCTACCTATATTCGTCTGCACTCTTTTCTTATGAGTTCGTGTCTCCCACGCAAGTGTACAGTCACACTTGCACGAACCCCAAGACCAGCTTAGATCTTGATGACGACCTTGCCAGCATGCTGTCCTGAGTACAGATAATCAAAAGCAGCAGCAGACTCCTCAAACGTGAAGACTTTGTCGATGATGGGCGTGAGTGACATGTTATTTTCTTCAATGAAACGGTTCATGCGCTGATAATCAAGCTTCGAGCCCACGCCGATGCCCCTATGATGTGTTAGACCTGGCAACGGACGAGCGATGGACCTTCATTATGCTTATTGGGCGACTTACTGCACCTTGGCTAGTTTTCCCATCAAGGCAAGCAGGGCACTTGGCTCCCATCCTTGCCCAAACCCAGCCAAGAACCCCACGAGAGAGACGGTGCCACCTTTCGATCGTAGGAACTGATGTCGTCGGGTATGGACGACGGACCTGTATTGTTAACCACGACATCGACACCTTTCCCATTGGTGATGCGGAGAATTTCCTCTTTTTGGCTGGAGGTCGTCTTGTAGTTGATGCCGTGGACATCGGATCCCATCTTCTTGATGGCCTCAAGCTTTTCATCTGACGAAGACGTGACAATAGCCTTCCAGCCGTTGGCGATGCACAACAAGAGCGCGAACAGGCTAACACCTCCGGTTCCTAGTCGTTCTTGTCAGCATCAATCACAAAAGATTGATGTGTTGCATCCAAAACGTTCGCCAGGTTTTGACCTACCTTGCATCAGAGCGACGGGATCCTTTCGGCTTGTTTCAAGGCCGTTAAGAGACGACCATGCCGTTACGCCGGCGCATGTGAGGGTGGCAGCCTGTACAGCACCAGTAAGTCCCATAAAGCTTTGCACGTTTCTCGCATCGCTACTGGGCTCCACCGGGCCTTTGACTCACCTCTTCCCAGGATAGATGCTTCGGAAGATGAACAAGCACTCTATCCTCGTAGACCGCATATTCCCGTAAGACGCCGGCCGTAGAGCCTCCAAGCGCGCAGTTCTCATCCTCTTCCAGGCCTGTAAAGTTGTTGATGTCAAAGATGGGCGCCACCTTATCTCCAATGGCGAAGTCGCCAACAGAGGAACCGATAGCAACAACCTCGGCGGCGCAGTCGGAACATGGTATGCCCTCATCCTCGACCTCGACAGGGTATCTGCCATTTAACATGGCCACATCGCGAAAGTTGAGCGATACGGCGTGAATCTTTACGAGGACATCGTGCGCTCCAAGATCGCCCGGGGTGGGAACAGGCTCAGTGACCTGCGTGACGGTCCGTGGGAGGTCACCGTGTGTCCGCCTGAATACTTTGGCTTCGGTTGGGATCGTCATGACTGTTTTGGAAATGATACTAACTCAGATTTGTACTGCATTTGCAACGAAATGCTGCATCAACTCGCGGGGCTTTTTATCAATTTCACTGCCTTCAAGAGCTGGTGGGGTCTGCGGCGGACTTTGGTGCGGACTTTCCACAGCAGTGAACAATTCCGATCAGCGGCGTCAGCGTCTTTCGATCTCTGCTGGTGAACTGAGTAAGCTTAAGGTACGGAGGCTGACCAAGCGACGTCATCGTCGGCGAGTATTAGTGATCTAGATTCGTTCTGGATTTTCATCAAGATGGCTTCCTTATTGGCTTGAACGCTGGCTCGGACGCGCACCGGAGCTAAAACGCCAAGTTGGTGGGGTTCGTTTGGTGCATCGAAATAACGATGTAGTAGCAAGGCCCCGCGATCTGGTGTGATGTTCGTGCTTGCTCATGTTTCCTGCGAAAAGTGATGGGCGTTGAGAGATTTTGACCACAGTCCTCGATCAGCGTTATGATGAGCTGCTCCTGGCGGCAGCTGATGATCTTGGCCACATGCCCTAATATTTACTTGGACCTTGTGATTCAGTCATGCAATTCTTTTGCAGCGCGATGTCTCGACGCACCACTAGCTTGATACCAGCCCTGCATCTTGCGGCCACATTCATGGAATGTTGAGTAAATGTCAAGGAATATCCCTGCGTGTTTGAAATACTGAATGTCCTGGCCGTGACCTGGATCTAATCGTCGTGCTTTGCTTCCACCTCGACGAATTCGACATCCGCTGGTTTGTAAGACCCAAAACGACGGAGGGGAACGCCTTGGTTGAACATAAGGTCAATCTGCTCCAAGGACTTGCCCTTGCACTCGGGGACAAACAGCCACGTGAAGCATACAGACACGACTGCAACCGCGCCGAAGATGAATCCCAAGCGACTGCCGAGATTCACAGGGTCAAAGAGGAGGTAAGGAATGGAGAAGTTGACGGCAAACCTGATGAGGACAGGTAGTGTTAGCACGGAGCATCTTCGGCAGGTTATTACAGAGCACAACTCACGCAGTGACAACGTTAACAATGGCAGCAGTACGCTGGGATGCGTCCCGGAGATGGAGCGACGTCACTTCAGTCGTCACAACATATACTAGAGGTGCCCATCCCAGGCAAAAGCCACCGCCAAAGAGCGGCAGCATCGCGACTGTGGCCTTCTTGACAGCGACTGACGGATTGCTGATAGTACCTAAGCCACCCATGGTTATGATGGCAGCTGCCTGCCAGGCTGCGCCAGCCATGAGCAATGGCCTATCAGACGATTTACATGTTAGCACAGCGTTTGACCAAGCGGTCAGGGAGCCGGTCACAACTTACCGTCTGCCAACCCGGTCGTTGAGAAACAGTGAGACGCCACACATCAGCAGGTTGACTGATGCATTAATGATGGTCATGTTGAAAGGGTTGACGGTTCCAATGCTCCGCACAAAGATAGCGCCATAGGAGCCTGCAAACGCTTGGCCCGTTGCCTGCTGCAGGAAGTTAAGTGCCACAATAATAGCAGTCCGCTTCCTGTTGATACCCTGGAATATCTCAATGTATCGTCCCTGCTCTTTTTCCATTTGAAGGGCAAGTTGGAGGTCGGCGAATTCAGATTCGATCTCTTCAGGGCTCAAGGTTCCGGAGCGTAAACGAAGCAACGCACCGTGAGCCTTTCCGACTTCGCCTTTCGTCAAGAGCCAACGAGGAGACTGAAATTAGGATGATAGGTGAGCAAAGTCCTGTACGTAAATGATTTTACAAAGAAGTAGACTGACCTCCGGAATTAACCACACGGTCGACATAACGATCATGGGGACTATAAAGAAGAAGCCTAAGGGGACTTTCCAGGCTGCATTTGTGGATAGAGTACTTGTCCCGCGACAAATGCAATTCATGATAAGTCCTCCACACTACGGTAGGACAAGGTCAGCGGAGGTCCAAGATCAAAGTCTCGGAAATTGGCTGTTTACCATCATGCTGAACTGGTAGGAGCCTACCGCAAACCCCCGAATTGGTGTGGGTATGATCTCTGCCTGGTAGACAGGGATGACTGCTAGCTCCATTCCGATGTATATGTCTGAAGACAAGACTCGGGTTAAAATTACCACTTAACTGGCAGGGCATCATCAAAGCGAGTTGAACATACAATTTAGGACCCGAGCGGCCATGATTTGCTCCCTGGTAGTTGATGTCACTGCTATTACGGCGCAGACGACAGCATGACCACTCATGGAGAACATGCACCATCGTCGACCCCAGCGTTCACTGATTAGACTACCAAGCACCACGCCTAGGTTGCCGTCAGCAATCATGTTCACGAGTCCAAAAAGCCAGAACGGACCAAATGCGAAACCAATGTAATTCAAGCTGTTGAACATTGAAAGCCATGCGGTTGGTAGTTCATATTTGCCGGTTCTCGTATCAAATGAACCAAAATGACGAATGAACGGTTCCATCGCCTGAGTTGTTGTGTAACCATTGTTGTCGAAGCCATAATTCAGTGTCGAAATGGCAATGACTAGAGATGAGAGGGCCAAAGTTTTGTTAAAATGCTTGACGATGTAGTGGTTGGAAAGCATAAACATGATGGAAGAAGGGTCAGATGGAATATCAGAGTCTCATCAATGCGAAATGCTGAGCTACGTGAACACAAGCACATTGAAGAAGGAGTGTCTAAAGAGCGGCTGTTCCTCCATTCACCTGTGACTTATATACGATACCCCCTCTTCTCCGCCTTAGGTCGGGAGCAGAAAGGACGTGGAGAACCTTGCAAATGAACTTACCAAATAGGGGTGGCGTCAAGGGCGCCCCGGCTCGTGTAAAATCAATCCCCAGATTCCTCTTCCGGGGCGCAGAGTATCCTCCGCACTTGAACAGTCCTCGACTCCAGACAAGGGCACCGTCGGCCCAGTTCTCTGGATGGCGCCGCCTCGTTTAGAAGCGCAACGATAGACCTTCACCTGATGTTGACAAATTCACATCGATGCAGAGATTCATCATGATTGAGTGGACTGACAAGTATCCTGCGTGACCATTCGCCTCCGGCCCTCAGGGCAGTCGGGGCAGTCGGGGCAGTCGGGGCAGTCGGGGCCTAGCGAACTTCTTACTTCAGGTAAAGTCTGGCATTTGATTGCCGACTTGTAAAATATCCATGCACTTTTTATATCGTAACGTGACCATATATGTCCATGATGAGATTAACACATTCCTGATAGCCTCCTCTAAGATCTATGGCCTTCACTGCTCTTATCTCACAGCCCGAATTTCCGCAGCAAGGCCCAAAGCTGGCATAGCTTCGTCGAACCCTCTTTGCACTCTGCCAGAACCAGCTGTGCACTATCTGTACACGCTTTTCTTTGCATCTTTCCGTTCTTCACGTACTCGAAACCTTCCAATCGCCATATACGACAACCCGCAGCATCCCAACAATGAACGGAAACCGGGGCGTGTTGGACTCCTTTCTAGAGGAGTTAACGCTCCCAGAGAAGATTGATCTTCTCGCCGGAAAAAATATGTGGGAGACAGCCAGCATTGATCGACTTGGTATTCCAAGCCTCAAGACTACCGATGGACCAGCTGGTGTTAGGGGCAAGATCTGGAGCGGCGGCTCACGTACGACATTCATCCCGTGTGGCGTCTCGCTTGCCGCAACATTCAACCTATCCTTGATCGAAGAGGTGGGTGAGGTGCTGGGTAAGGAAACGCGACTTAAAAATTGCTCTATCCTCCTAGCACCTACCATGAACATCAACAGGTCGCCACTTGGCGGTCGAAATTTCGAAAGCTTCGGCGAAGACCCAATGCTCACAGGCCGAATGGCTTCTGCTATAATTTCCGGCATCCAGAGCCAGGGCGTTGGGGCTTGTATGAAACACTTCGTCGCCAACGACACCGAAACCAACCGGTACAATGTGGACGAAAAGATTGATGACCGAACCCTGCGCGAGGTGTACCTTAGACCCTTCAAGCTTGCTCTGGAAGCCCACCCGTGGACTGTCATGACGAGCTACCAGAAGATCTTGGGTGAGCATGTCGATGCAAGCTCTCGTCTTGTCAAGGACCTTCTTCGCAGCGAGTGGGGGTTCGACGGACTTGTAATGAGCGACTGGGGAGGACTCAACGACACCATCAAAAGCCTGGCTGCCACAACCGATTTGGAAATGCCCGGTCCTGCAGTCCGGAGAGGTAAAAAGCTCCTCGAGGCAGTGAAGAAAGGAGATGTTGATGAAGCAACTCAGATTGATCAGTCTGTACGTCGCATATTGACTACTATCGAAAGGGCTGGCGTCCTCCCCTCTTCACCAACCTCATCTTCGAGAGTTGAAGTGAATGGACCGGAGGATCACGACTCTGTGGCCGGGGAGCACGAGGATGATTCAGACGCTTCGTTCAGAAGGATTGCTCGTCAAGCTGCTAGAGAGGGCCTCGTACTTCTCAAGAACAAGACCATTCTCCCGATAAAACCGAAGAACCTGAAACGGATCGCCATTCTGGGACCCCAAGCGAAAAGGCCAACAGCGGGGGGTACCGGGAGCGCTGCCGTCAACCCGTATTACGTATCTTCACCATATGAATCTCTGAGCGAAGCCCTACTGTCAGAGAATCCTAATATTCATATCCAATATGAAAAAGGCATTCGCACTTCCGATGTTCCTCCCCTGCTGGGAGACCGCCTCCAGAATGCTGCAGGCCAAGGGTTGCGAGCAGACTTCTACGCCGGGCATAACTTTGAAGGCAACATCATCGAAACGACTTACTGGAAAGACTCTATTGTCTATCTTATGAGCGATGGTGATGTGCCTGCAGAGTTGGCTGACAGAGACTACTGTTTCCGAGTTTCTGGCGCCCTGGTACCTGACGTATCTGGGATGCACACATTCAGCCTGGCCAACATCGGTCAGGCTAGACTCTACCTGAACGACGAGGTTGTCATTGACAATACTTCATGGACAGAGACTTCAGGGCTTTTCATGGGCTGCGCAAGCCGAGAAAAGACTGCTCAAGTGTCGCTGGAAAACGGTCGCGTCTACCGCTTGCGGGTTGACTATATCGCTACGCCACCCCCGGTCGAGGCTTACGATAACACTCTTTTTCACAAGGTCTCAGGAGCCCGCATCGGTCTTTTGGCACCTGAAGACGAAGACGAAATGCTTTCAAGAGCTTGTGATGCAGCAGAGAAAGCTGATCTCTCTCTGGTCGTTGTCGGTCTAGATCCCGACGAAGAAAAGGAAGGTGGGGATCGTTCGTCTCTTGAGATGCCAGAGCGAGTCAACAAATTGATCAAGGCAGTTGCTTCGAGAGGCGAACACGTAGCGGTCATCGTACAATCGGCTTGTTCTGTAGGGATGCCTTGGGTCCACGAGGTGGATAGCATCGTACAAGCATGGTATCAGGGCCAGGAGAACGGTAATGCTCTTGCTGACGTTCTGCTCGGGAAGCACAACTTTTCGGGAAAGCTTCCTGTGACTTTCCCGGTACGTATTGAAGACCACGGGTCCTCTCCATATTTCCCTGGAGACGCCAAGAATAACCGTACCGAGTATGGTGAGGGGGTTCTTGTTGGATACCGTCATTTCGACAAGCACCAAATTACTCCCCTTTGGCCCTTTGGCTTTGGCATGTCCTACACGCAATTCCGCTTATTTGGAGCACGAGTTTCTGGATTTGTGTCAGCATCGCAGAACTCCGAGGCTATAGTTACGGTTAGCGTCCAAAACATTGGGCCCTGTGATGGCCAGGAAGTTGTCCAAGTATACGTGCCGCCATCTTCAGAAATCTCAGTCCGAGGTTTGCAGTCATACAACAAGGCCCTCGGCGGATTTAACAAGGTATCTGTCGCAGCAGGTCAAACTCGACAAGTCAACATCAAAATCTCAAGTGAGGTCTTTCAGTGGTTTGATGTTGGTGATGGCATGGAGGATATAAAGGAAGGATCCTGGAGGGTCGACCCTGGAACGTACCGCTGCTACATCGGCAATAGCTCCGCCGCCGACTTTGACGAGGTCGATATTGAAGTTCGAGAATGAGGATCAGCTTCCATTATGACACAGTGCATCCCGTGAAGCACAAACGTGGAACAGATACACATACAAATATACATTTTTTTAAAATGGCTGCAAACATCATCCTGGCGTAGTGCCTAGGTAGCAAAAATATCAAGCGACAGCCTTCACCTCGAGGAAGTAGTAAGAACAGCCAAGCGTATGGAAACTGTCGTATCATTCACCGCAATGACTACGCGTCGTCCTGAACTATGGAGTGTTCAAATACATTCAAGGGGTACATTTCAGTGCCAGCGCCCAGCAGATATTCGGTCCCGGGCATCGACCACAAACTCTCGTCGTAATAGCCAGTGTCTGCGGCATCCCCAATCAAGGGAGTAGTTGAGTCCATGCGTGCGTACCGCGTATTAACATCCGTTATGGTGAAGTCGTTGGCATTCCAGGTACCATATGTTGCTACCGTCGGCACACGTTGCAGCATCCGTTGGGGACCATCTGCCCTATGGGCTTCTGTGTCCGTATTGTGGGCATCTGACCGATTTCGCTTCTCTACTTCTGGGTGAAGGACAACGGTTTTTTGACGAGATTCCTTGTCGTTGTGGGCTCTATCGGGGTCTTCGCTTAAGAACTTGATACTCGCAAGCTCTTCGTCAATGTTGAAGGCGAAGCCATCACTGTCAAACAGATCTTTGAATCAGCAGCTGAGATGATCACATCATCGGGTTGAGGGAGATGATCACTTACAAGGTAGATTCTGTAGGCTCCCGTTGATCCTTTTGTTGCTCGTTCAACAGATTGGAAATTTTCTCATACGCGAGCCTTACTGTTGGATACACCTCGGCAGGGCAGCGAAGAATGTCTACATATGGTTGTAGGCAAGAGACTAGGTCTGCATGGAATGATGCTGGGACTTGTGATAGCACTCGCTGATGCAGATAAATTCGCCGAGTGGCCGACAAGATGCAAAATCCCAGCATTGGATCAGTTATCAAGACGCCGGCATCAACTTCCAAAACGCTTGTGATCAAAGACGCCAAGGAAATAGCTTGTTGAAGACCGCGAACGCTGTAGTAATTCAATTCTGTGACAAGTGACGCTTGCGACCCCGAAACATTGTCTTCGCGCCTGTTTTGGGCGTCAAGAATGTCGTAGAGACGGCCGTTCACGTGGTACCACCAGACATGCAACATAATGAAGGTGGTCCGCGAGGGTGAGGATATCCGACGGCAGATGTTTCGTGCGCTGATTGAATAGCCTTCGGGAAGTGATGAGATGAACTCCGATAGCTCGTGCTCGAACCCACCAGCATTGGCTTGTAAATAGGACTCTTCGCCAGTCGTTGATTCAGCCCTGACTCTTAAGTTAGTTCCAAAGTAAATGACACCGTTGGAAAAAGTATTCACTTACTCTTTAATTCGTCGATATATATCAAGAAGCCGTATAATGTAGGTGTATAGCCCCGCGCCTTCCTTATTCAAGGTTCTGATCGGCTGTCGGAGGCTGCCAGTTTCAACAGACGTTTCGTAATTGTAGGATCGCTCGTTGCATGGCAACTTCAACCACATACTCTCACTGCGGCAACACGAAAGCTCAGTCTTACCATCAAGAGATATCAGGTCCATCATCCAGAGGCCCCACATGATACGTCGTCTCCATTCTTGTATGCAAAAGCCTTTCGATGCCTCTTCGTGGTTCAAGCGCATAGTATACGCTAGTCTCGTAGCAAAAGAGATGACGCCAATCAGCCTACAAAACCTGCGAGAACTGGCATGATCGAAAGCAATGAGTATCAGTGCAGCAATGTCTGTTCGCAGAGGGCTGCAGTCCTGCTGAAGTATCTGTCTTTCGGCCTCTTCGATCCACCGTTGGCCATCTGAAGGCGTATGTGAGTTTGGCTGGATAATAAATCGTGATGCGACACCGCATATGGCTTTTAAGAGCTTAGGATTATGTCTACCATCAAGCCACGTCTGAAGAAGAGAAGGTTGATGTATGAAACTTAAACCGGGTATGGGGTGTATATACTCGAAAAACACGTCGAGGTGCTGCTTGATGATGGCATGATGGAGTCCAGATTTGCTGGTCACCTGTCAGTTTGAAATGTGATCGCAGCGCAAGAAAGGCTTTCGTTGCTTCTGTCGAGTTCACTGACCTCATGATCGTGGTCAGCGACGGCGTCGTGCTGCCCGGGGGTGTCAAAGCTTCGGATGATGGGGGTGTCTCGGCGGTGACGCTGGTTGCTTCATTGAGCACATGATTTCCAGCACGAGATGTCTCGCTGTCAGTTGCTGTAGAAGCTTCTCTCTGCTCTGGTGAGACAGCGGGTATGGAGCTAGGTATCATGATCGAAGCATCGTGTGGTGGAGTGATCACAGTTGGCTCGCGGGATCCACTACCTGCAGGTGTCTGGCGCGCGCGTCGACTAGGGCTAGGCACGCAATCGATCCCAAAGTTATGACATCTTTCACAAGGAGGTCGAGTCCCTTGACAGCGAACCTTTTTCTGGCGGCAGGGAAGGCAAGCTCTCGGAGCTCGTCGTCGAAGGACCGCACCGGGGGTATGCGACTGGTCGGAAGACCTTTGCGCCAGATGTTCAAAAGCCGTCGGCTCAGTAAAGGAACATTTGAAATTCAAGCGGCTGCAATTTCGACATCCGCCAAGAGTTCCATCGCATCGAACCTGCGGCCACGAGGCAAGGTTGCATTAGCTTAATTTGGCTTCAGTTTGCGGTTATCCTACTCTCTGCGGGGTCAGGAAGCCTGTCCTACCTTGCGACTCCGACATTGGAAGCAGATTTGCAAACGCTGGTGCGTTCCGGGAATCTGGTTGACCATGGCGGGCAGGTGAGCGGCTGCCGGAGACCACAGATTGTGTTGAGTGAGTCTGGGGAAGTGGGGGAAGAGAAGTCAATCGGGATTCCTCCACATATAGGACCTGGCCCCCGACTGCCCCGACTATCCCGCCAGCTTCGCTTACAATATTGTCACACAGCTTGGTCTATTACCGAGACGAAGAGGCGAGTATCAGCGATGCCTAGTCATTCCACAAGCTCCCCGTTTTTTGGCCGAGAATAAGTGGCGTTGCAGGTAGGTCCGAAAGCTAATCCCAAACCGGTATCATTATTCGTTGAGGCTCAGGATTTTGAGACGAGTGGCGTGGGTCTCGCGACGCAATTTACGCCCGAGACGTCATGTCCATGGGAATCAAACTGCACCTTGTCTAAGGTACGTTAGTAATCGTGTCACACGACAGCAATGAACTTGACTATCTAGTACGCACTTCGACGATGGATCGGATGGCATCAGGTCGTCGGCTGGATCATGGCCTGAAAATGGTCTTATAACAAGGAGTTGAGATTAGTCAAGGCGTTAGCAGTGGCACTCGTCTCGGGGAGGATTCAGCCGTCACTACTTGAATCTCAGCATCAAAGTCACTGCCGGACATAGCAATATCGGAGCAGCCAGACTGGGCTGTACGCAGTTATTACGGTTTAGACCCGGTGACGTTGTATAGCCTTGTGGGCTATACCTCTACGAATGCAGCCCAGTTGAATCAACGACGTTGATTCCACACGTATTCTTTTAGCTCAATTGGATATTTGCCAGCAAGGCACTCACGACCGTGTAAGGGCTGCCACTGAGCTCCTTTTGGGGCCGACCGTAACAGCAGTAAGTGCCATGTCCCAAGAGGCTACCATATCGCTCAGGAGCAACAGCAGTAAGTGCCATGTCCCAAGAGGCTACCATATCGCTCAGGAGCATCCGCTACTTCGGCAGTCTTCGTGGTATGTTTAGCACCTGCCCGCATATCATTTTCATGAGACCATGCAGTATGATTACCAGTAGAATATCCACCATAGAAGTGTTAAGATGTACATTCCATACTTCCGCCATTGTGACCAACAACGTCGATGATGCTTACTGTACGTCATGCCGTACGGCACTTTGAAGATGCATTTCTATCTTGCGGTAATCTTGACATGATGAAGTGTATTTCAAACTGATGGGAGCCATAGTCAAATGACTCGAAAAGCAAGCTTTCGTACTCAACTAATTAATGCTGCTGGTGCCTGCATTCTCGCAGACAAACAGCTGTTAACTGTATCTTGATGTTGTCTGCAGAGCCCATGGACTATGGTGGAGAGTCACTGGATTTGAGTTTTCACGCCTTTTTCTCCGCCTCAGATGTGATTTTGGACAGCTTCTCGTTGTCAAGGTCGTTCTTGGCCACGGTTTCAACATCAAGGGTCCTGTCGCGAGGGCGGCCCTTCCTGTCAAAATCAAAGACTCTTGAAGCTTCCTCGGCAGAAAGACGCTTGGTCTCCGGAAACATCAAGTAGATAAAAGCAAAGTAGAAGATAAGAATGGCAATATACACACCATAGCTAGTCCGAGATGATCAGTGTCTGGGCCGAACACGGACTGAGCTGGTGCAAGACTTACTAGCGCCATGCAATGCTCTTGAGAGCAATTGGGTTGACAAATTGGTTGAAGGCATTACCCAAAGTGGCGGTGCTAGTGAATAGAGCCATGCCCTTGGAACGCAAGTCGAAGGGTAAGATCTCGACTGTGTAAGCGATGGGCAGGGGGGTGTATGCCATGTCATAGAATCCGAAGTAACTAGCGGCGGTATAAGCGTAAGATAGCTTGACAGGAGATCCTTACTCGGGATTTCTGAGTCAACTCACATGAAAAGAAATGGGATAACGGCTGTCCCAAGCGACCGCTGCTTGGTGTTCGCAAAACCAGCAGACAACCCCATAACAATGGCGTACGAGCTTAACATGCCGACAGTAGCAATCAGGAAAAGAGGTCGACGACCCGCCTTATCACAATAAACAGAAGCCATACCAGCGAGTATTAGATTCCATATAGCTGTAGACAAGTCAGTGAATGTACCAGCCGTGATGGAGGGAGACATACCAAGACCCGTGTTGATGAGCGTGATTTGTACGGGAGAAGTTACTCCCACAGACCTCAGAATGGGGGCGAGATAACTAAAGGGTCAGCCAAGAACATGATAGAACTCTGGGAAACCCTACTAAGTAATGATGCCATTTCCCACCCAGTTCAAAGAGCATGCGAGAGCAACGAGCGTAGCCAGTCGTCGCCTGTTTCCAGGAGAGCGGAAAAAGTCCAAGAGACCCGCTTGTCGTTGGGACATTTCGCGCTGCAAAGCCGTGGTGATTTGCTCCACCTCAAACTTCACGAGGGCATCGTCTTCATCGCCGTTAGCATGCAAGTCGGCCAGAATTTTCCGAGCTTCTTCCGCCCGATCGTTCTTGATGAGCCACTGGTTTCTGATGTTAGAATGGTACAATGAAAAGTTGAATTGAGCTTACGCGTGGTGATTCCGGGCAGAAAATTGCAACCACCATGACGGCGATAGGACCAAGGATTTGCAGCAGCGAAGGGAAGCGCCATCCCCAATTGCCAGGAACGTACAGGCCAGCGACTGGATAAGAGAATTAGGCCTCACTTCATTGACAAAGGCCTTCATTCCTACTCACAAGTCATCAAAGCTGAGAAGAAGCTGCCGAAATACGCAAAGGTTTGGTAACAAGAGCCGAGAATTGGACGGAGACGCGGGTGGCTGATTTCTTGGATGAGCACGGGGGTCGCGACTTTGATCATTCCGACACCGGCTCCCATAATCGCACGGCCTGAACAATCAGTATCGATGTGAACAAGGGGGTCATACAGGAGAAGATCTCACCGCCGCACCACATGCCAATTGAATTGGCAAATGTGTTGACAAGAGCCCCAATGATCAAAACAACCGTAGAAATAAGGATGCACCAGCGTCGGCCCAGTTTGGTGGAGAGATAATCACCAATGAATGAAGTGAAAATTGATGGCAAAAAGAACGATGCAGCGTAGATACCAAGCAGGGCACCAGTTGGCCGATTGAAGTATCTGAGAACAGTATCAGCACGATGTCATTGAATACAGCGCACAGAGAAAGCACTTACTTCTGCCAAGAGGGCATGGCCTGAAAGCCGGTCAAAAGACTTGCTTGATCTCGAAGTGGATTAGTGATGGGCAGAGCAAGTGCGTATACGGCACTTAAACTTACATCCCTAACAGCGATAATAGTCAGTCCCAAGTCTTAGCTACCGAGAGTCGCATTACCAACTTACATTCGTGGCAATAACGAGACAAAGTCCCAAACCAAAGGCTACGTTGCGACGTAGGCCTGCATCCTTGTACCAGATGGGGTTGGTATTGTCTGGTAATAAGTCAGCGACAAGCCGCGTCAAATAAACATCGTATGGGCGGGTTCTCACTAGGCAGCTCGTGCCATTTCGCGTTGGTGGCCATTCTACAATCGTGTCTCAAATATATCTCTTGTGATATTGACAGAAGGTGTCTTGCATGCACATGCCTTTGGTGTTCCCCATGGGGTCCCCCGCAAGTTTTTATTCAATTTTCTACGCGCGCGATGGCAACACACAATGGTGATGCTCGCTACTAAGTCATCAATCCAGTCCCTGGGTGCGCTTCGTATGACTGGGCCGGCCGGCCCTATGTGGGTGCACCGCGCTCTGAAGTTCCGACTCCCGAGAGCCCCGAGAGCCGAGAGCCCCGAGCCCCAGGAGGAAAGGCACTCGGCAAGGGCCTGGCATTCATTCCGGGTGGCGTTGATAGACATTGTCTAGACTATCGTTACGGGGGCTTCTAACCCAAGACTCGTTATTCTTACGTCTCGCGTGGGCCTGTAGCACAAACTCTGATGACCCGCCTCGCCAAGGAAGAAAGAGCCTTGCCGATGACACTGGCACTGCACATCCAGCAGTATGGTGTGATCTAACCACCTTATTCCTGCTTTCTCATTAACGGGTCAAATAATTAGGGATCATGCCATCTCCAAATCACGCACAAAATGCGACCCCCCAGCACATCGGTAGCCTCCGGCCTGCTTGATCCAGGCGTAGCCAACAGGGCAACGCCCACTAAGCGCTAATTTCCTTCTGGCTTCAGCCTCTTGCCGGCGGCGATTCTCTGCTCCAATCAATTCACCCATGATGCGGTCCAATTCTCCTTCATCTGCAGTTTTCTTCGCCTCGAGCATCGACTGGTACTGTTCTTCCTGGTCGCCCTCCGCCTGAGCATCCTTCTGCAGCTGCTCCCAAACTTCATCGCTCACGCCAGCATCGCGAATGCTGTCATTCTGGAAGCGAAGGTTGGGCTCTGGGCTCGAAGGAGGGGTCAAGTCGTCCTCCTTGGCGCCCTGTTGCGATGTCTCCGTTGTCCTTTCTTCATGCTGGTGCATCAACGTCGGCTCCGCGATTGGTGGAGAAAGGAGAGAGAGATCTGCTAATCCTGTGGTGAGTTGATGGGACACTCGCTTTTCACGGCTGTGACGTTCGTGCAGCATCTTCTGCAGCTGGCCGAGAACGACATCCTCTGAGACTAGGATACAGTGACCGCCGCCTTCTTTGAGACCCCGGAGGCCAACATTGAAAACAGCCTTGGCAAGGGTCTCGATGTCGCGTGCGCTCGCCCAGGATGTTTGCTTTGACAGACCGTCAAACAAGCGCAGGACATCCACTTCAAACCGCCTTGACGGTCGCTCGAAGCAGCCGAGATTGAGATCACCCTTGGTTCCCTTCAGCCTTTGCTTCTGCTTTTGAAGCGTTCTCGTCAATAGCTCAAGGCAACTGCCTGGGTCGAGGCTATAAAAGTCAATGGTTTCAGGGAAGCGGCTTGTCATACCAGGGTTGACGCTCATCAAGCGGTTGATATCGTTCTCGTAGCCGGCCAGAATTATTACTAGCCTTCCTTCATACTTGTCTTTGGTGACGGCATCGACCAACTCGTCGAGAGCTTCTTTTGCAAATTGGCCATCTGCCAGACGATAGGCTTCGTCAATCAGAAGGACGCGCCCCAGAGCTTTGTCAAGGAGCTGCTGCACTTTGGGCCCTGTCTGCCCAACATACTGTCCGATTAAATCCGTGGCAGAGCAATCGAGGACATCTGCGCTAGCCAAAAGGCCCATGTCCATGAAGACCTTCCCCATCTTTTTAGCCGTCGACGTTTTGCCTGTCCCTGGCGGCCCTCGAAATAGGAAGTTGAATGGAACTTGCCCTTTTGGATCCATTCCCAGAAGTCTCGACGTACGAACGATGTCTTGATAGCCTTGTAGGATTGCGACAATCTTCTCGCAGCCCACAGTGCCCTCAAACAGCATTGGGATGTTTGTCTGACTACGTTGCATGCGCTCGAAGCCCGCATCAAAGTCGACAGCTCCAAGAGTCACTCTGTGCTTTGTTTGGCCGAGAGACAATCGCTTCTGGTGGCTCCCTTTGGCTTGGTCAAGCAGTATGTCAATCTCGCCAGCGTTGCCAAAATTGGGTCGGTTGCGGGCCCGGTCCAGCACCTCGATGGCGACAGTTTTTGCTTGGTCCGTGGCCTTGAACCCTTGTTGCTTCAACTTAAGATCTAGGATCTTTCGAAGATCGTCATTGTCAAAATCTTCGAACACAAAGGCAGACGCCAGCGGGAAGCGTCTGCTGAGGCCAGGGTTGACGTTTTGGAACATTTCCTCCAGTGGATCCTTGTATCCGAGGAGTAAGACACATCTATCGTCACCAGGGGTGCTCTGGACCTCAGCTACAATGGTATCGATGACGGCAGTCCTGTAAGGGTCTGTAGCTCCCCTACCTTGCGTACCACCTCCGCCGTAGAGACCGTATGCTTCGTCGATGACGAGGACTTTGCCAACCGTGGCTGCGAGGATACCTCGAGTCTGCTGCTCCGACTGGCCCATGACAGCACCGACGAAGTCCGAGGGGTTTTTGACAATAACCTCTCCACTGGAGAGCAGCCCCAGGTCGACTAGAATTTGACCATAAATCTTCGCCACCGTGGTCTTCCCTGTGCCTGGGCTGCCCAAGAAGACGCGGTTGAGCGAGAACTGTATTACAGGCTCTTCAGCCATTTCACGTTGATAGTTCGCCTGGATGGTGTCCAAAAGCATTTGTACAGACTCTTTGACCGAAGAAAGGCCAACCAGACCTTGCAGTTTCCCCCATGCTGTAGAGTTCTCAAGCGCATTGGTCGGCTGTGGCCCAATGAGGTCTTCCTTACTCAATTTAAGGTCATCTGGTCGCAGTCCCTTGCGTCTCTCGCTCAGCAAACGGTCGGCTTGTCGCATGCAAATCCTGGAGAACGCGTTTTCGACAGCTCTAGCATTGCCGAACCCCTCCGTACCACGGCCCATCCCGAGTCGGCGGGCAACGATCCGGCAGAACAGCCCTTGCAGGCCGTCTTCGACTGTCATTCGTCCGCCAAACTTCTTACTGATTTGACGCTCCAATATTCTCAAGAGTTCTTTGTCATCGTAGTCTTCGAACTTCATCTCCAGCGGGAATCGACTAGGGAAGCCAGGATTATGCGCAAAAAAAGTCTCCATCTGCTTGGTGTAGCCAGCAAGGACAAAAACAATCATTCCTGTAAGATTCTCGACCTCGGCGAGGAGGAAGTCGAGAACAGCGCGACCTCCTGGGCTGTTGCCTGAAGACAGCTGGTACGCTTCATCAATGAAGATGACGCCACCTCCGTTTTCAAGAACCTTTTCAATCAGAGTCTGGCAACCAGTCACACCCATGGAAGCCAGCTTCGAGCCTGTGGTTTCTTCGAATTCACTGCCTGCAATGATTGCCAGCGAGGTAAGGAATTTAGCGTAGATCCTGGCCACAGTTGTTTTGCCTTGAGGGGGGGTTGTCAGTCAGGCTTCTAGGTCTTGTGACGGCCTGCAAAATCTCACCAGTTCCCGGGTTCCCCAACAGACTGCAGCTGAATCTCTCAACCTTGAGAGATATCTGTTGTCTGACTGATGTGTCGACCCTGTTTTTGATAGACAGGAAGTTCTGTTTGACCCCTTCGAGACCTATTAGGCTCATCAATGTGTCCAAAGCATCACATCTCGCGTGATCAACCCGCTTCATTCCCTCCCATTCCTTTTGGGCGCCTGTGTTCTCGATCTCAGACCCAGCTTTAGGCTTGCTGGATGACGCTAAATTTACCACAGAAGCGGCTTCATTCTTCTGTTCGGTCTCGACAATGGCCTCTCGTCTAGCCCGCGTCTGCTTCAGGGCCTGGAGATCAGCGCGTCGCTGCTCGAGCGTTTTATCTTGTTCTTGCGACGTCTTTTCGAATTGAAGCATACGACGCTCAGCCTCGATATCTTCGTCGAGTTGTTGAAGTTGGGCCCGATAGCTGGCCTCTCGAACGAGTCGTTCGCTCTCAAGTTGAAAGTTGCGTTGCGCCCTTCTCTGCAACTCCTTTTCTTTCTGACGATGTTCTTCGTCTTCTTTCAGGCACTTCCGGCAGCTTTCGGTCCCAGAACCGCATGGAGCTTCGAATTTATGCTTCCTGCCGCAAAATTGGGTCACCAATTGGCGACACGGCGTTTCACTATGGTCCAACAGACGGTGACATCGCCGTTGGCACGTATGCAATCCGCATTTCAGCTTTGTTCCGCACGGCTCGGAGCACCCGCCATCCGGACACTTGAGTTCAAAGTCCTCAGGTCCAGCCAACATGACAATCCTAGAGGGATGCTGCTCACAGCGAACCCAAAGACCATCTTGGAGAAATTCCTTCTCGCGCAGAATGTTGAAAAACGGCACCCACACACGTTGACCCTGGGTAGACTTTATAAATGTGTCCAAGTTTCCAATCATGATCAGGCTATTCCGTGCTCGAGATACCAAGACATTCAGTCGCTCGGGTGCCTTCATGAACCCAATATCGCCTCTGGCGTTGCTACGCGTTAGTGACGCGATGACAATGTCACTTTCTTCTCCTTGGTAATTATCTTAGTCGCGTCAGCTGAGGTCCAAAATCTAGGGGCATGTGTCTCGCCGAATCAAGAATTGCGTATCCTTCACCAACTTACCAATGGTAGAGAGCCTGATTTTCGTCTTCGCAACCAAGCTCGCCGCGGTCGTCATCAAACCAGCTCTGATGAGCTCAGCAGAGTCCATATCGTTCAGCAGTGGGTCGTTCTCCTTGCTCAGTTCGTCGCGAAGAAGGCATAGCTGGCCGAGGTAGGGAGTGAGCACAACCAGGTGTGAATTTCCATACCCCTGTTGGCCCAGGTACTTGACCAACTTAAGAACCAGCTTTGCTTCGAACGGATTTTGTTTGCTTGCACGATAGTCCACATCGGTTTGAGAGTAGGCACCAGCTCCGTCAAGCTCGGGCTTGTCGTGATTGATAAACATAACTCGACCCAAGAGACCTCGGATGATAGGATGCTCACTCGTCTTGTCTCCGTCAAGCAGCTCTGGGTACGTCATCTGTCGTACAAGCTGCGAGATGTCAGGGTGCATGCGATGCTGTTTGCAGAGAGTAGTGTGCCGATGGCCCTGTAGAATGAGTCGCTCGAACAAAGAGCGGTTGAGATCAAAACCGCCACCGTGCTCAACAGTGAGAGTGTAGTTGTTAACCTTGGGCCGCAGCTGTTTATGATCCCCAATCAGGATGAGTTGCTGAACGCAAGGCTGGAGAGCCGCAAGGATATGTGCCTCGAGAATCTCTCCGGCCTCTTCGACCATGACAACATCAGGGGCAAACGCCGAAATCAGAGATGAGTGCATAGAAGCTGCAGTTGTCGTACAGCCTACGATGCGCTTCGTCTTGATGAAATTACGCTTTGCCTCGGCAAAGAGATAATCCACTTGTCTCTGAATATCGTCGAATTGGTCGGTGAGTGTCTGAGGGTTCTCGATCTTTTCTCTGTATACAGCATTGGTCCATGTGCTGTAAAGAACCTTTCTTTGGGGTACAGGCATCCCCCATACAAGATGTTGGGTTGGCGGCACGTACGCCGATCTCGGCTCTGGAGCTTGAGCCCCTGTGCTCCACCGTCGGAGGAGATAGTCTCTAGAAACGGCCTTGCCTTGATGGTTAGCCGTGACGAAGCCGTCATCACGCTCCATCATGAGGAATGCGTCGTAGTGTGGTTGGTATTGTTCCGAGAATTCGAGATAAGAGAGCACGTCATCAGCAGAAATAGCATTGCGCCCAATGCTTCGGCAGGCTTGCTCGATTTCCGCTCGAAGGCTCATAGCCTCTTCTTGCAGCCCTCTGATCTTATCGCGGCAATGATTGCTCAAGTAATGCTTGCTATTGCGATAGAGGGAGTCGAATCGGATTGGCTCAGTCGCTGCAGTATACTTCCCACCGAGACGGATCATTTTCTCCTGCGATACTCCGGCAACATTAGTGAGGTCTTCCAGAAACTGGTCCAGAGCGTGGTTGGTATAGGTGATGATGAGGATCCGGGAGTTTCTATTCGCCAAGAGAAACTGAACTGCTATGGCCCCGATGAAAGACTTTCCCGTGCCTAGGGAAGATACTATTAGTTGGCTTGTGGCATACATGAGACGTTAGCTTCCCTGTGGCACACACCTGGAGGTCCTTGAATGATGGAGAGTGGGCTCTCTAAGGCGTTTTTCAACGATGCCGTCTGTGATTCGTCTAGTAGGATTCTTTTGAGTCCCTTCGGGAAACTCAGTTGAATGGATGCGCTCGACTTATTAAGAGTCTTCAACAATTTTGCAATTTCTGGGCTAGGAGTGAAAGAGTCGTTCGTGGAAGTGTCATCATCAGGAAGTACCAGCAGGTATTTTTCGAGAGGCATGTCCCTGATCGTCTTGAGTCTCTCAAGAACCGGCTCATACGCAAACACAGGGGTGTTTACAAGGACGAACCGAAGGTTTTGAGGGTTTCGGAAGGCTGACAGAGCTTTCGACAGCGTGTCGTTGCCAGCGAACTGTAGACCAAGTACCTTCTCTGCAAGTTGGTCGACGTCACGTACAGTGAAGGCGAAGCCGATGATCTCCTTTTCATTACATAGAGCACCAAAACTTTGATGACCTAGGATCTTCTTGTCGTCGTTGAGCAGCTTCTTTCGCTTTTGTGAATCCATCTTATCCAGCATCTCAAGTCCTAGGCCGCATTTGATGAGGAGTGTACTTTTTTGGGCTCGCCTCTCGGTTCCAGTGTCGATGTTGATAGGCTGAAGCATGCCAAAGACTTGTGGACGTCTCCTGCCTTTCGTCTTGCCCATCACAGCATGTATGTCTTCTTTGAGCTCGGCCAACATGTCCTCCCTCAGAAGGCGATATTGGTTGTCGAGGTGTATTTGTGGCCGAGTTGCGGGTTCGGCTTGAGCAACAACGCTTGCAAGCCTTAGAAAAGGTCGGAGGGAAGAGGCAAACTCGTCGCTTGTCGGATAGACGGAGATATCTCTGAAATTTGCGCAGTCGTTGTCATGCCGGCCGCCCGGCGCCTCCCCGATGGGTCCTGACTCGACGGCAGAGTTGATTTTGAGAGCCCTTTGGATCCGATATCCAAGCTCGCGGACTTTGGGGTTGGTGTCATGGAGGAATGAGCGTTTCTCCACGGCGGCGACCAAGCTTTCGACAATGGAGACGAGTTCCTGCCCAGGCAGAGTGACAATTTCGAGAGACAGCCAGGCAAAGACCTCGGCATTTCCGTCCTGAAGCGTGTCATCAAGCCATAGCGTCAGGAGAGAGTTCCAGGCAATCGGGGGGTTCACAATCGCCAAAAGCATTTGGCGTAGAAGACTGCCCTCGTGGATGGCTCTGATGCCCGGATCTGCCAGGTATTCCAAGAAGGGGACGACATGGGCAGTCAGAAACACGGGTGAGGGATCGGTTCGGACGCTTGTGCTTATACCACGAATGCCGTGCTCGCTGGCCACAATGGTCTCGATGCAAGCCGATGGGTCCGGCTGAGCCCTCACAGCTTCCAGGTAGAGGCGAGCGTCGGTGGCAGTTGAGACGGTACGGTGCCCCGCGACGATGTCTTTAAAGGTCTTTGCGAGACGTCTCGTACGAGCTGGGTCGATGTTCTCAGGCTTCATGCTGACCGAATGGGACATTGAAATGCTTGGTCAACACGGTGGTGGATAGCAACTTCTGGTAGAGAAGGACTGTGGCAATATAAGGAAAACGCCAGAGGCCTTGCAATCGATAAATCGATACGTCCAACACGAACAGATGGCTCGCTTTGGTGGGGAAGGTCCTTCTTTAAGACGGTGAAAGGATGTGTTGATCTTATCGTTGTTGATGGCTTTCCGAGAAGAAGTAATTCATGAAGGAAACGCCTTGGGGATCGAAAGTCCCGCCAATGTCTGAATGGAAAAAATAGACCAGTAGGTGAAGATATGTGTGGCCAATGACCAGACCTTCCATCCTGAGCATTGCGTGACAAGTTGGTCCGTTGGTCGTCGACTGGCCGGCAGGGTGGTGGTCAGGCATCGGCCACTTGGGCGCGGGTTACACCAAACGTAGCAGATCATGGTAGGCCTCCCGCATGAATTTCGGCCTCCTGAATGGCCGCAAGGCGCATCACAGGCAGAATGTTGCAGCCAACAGACGAACGCCATGAGTGCTGTCCGTCGGCGCAGGCAGCCTGACGAAGAAAGAGAAAAGGTCAACCTTGGGTGTAATTGCGGATGTGAAGGGTCACTGAGGACACGAGAAATAGCTCCAAGTTCTTCCTCCTCAAGTCGCCCGTCATCTTATCCCCGTCTACTCAATCACAATGTCAGCTAATCATAGAGGCTACAGCTCAAACTTCAGAGGTCGGGGAGCAAACCGCGGCCGATATGGCTGGCGTCGGGGTCCATCCATGCCGCTCGCCTCACCAGCACCAAGCTATCCCCCCCTTCCACTTGGGCCCGAGATCGCCTGCATTGCGGTCGCGAAACTAGCCAAAGACGATGCCATACCTGTCGAAAAAGCACGAGTATCCGATTGTCAGCTTGTCGCATCGTACAATTGGCTCGACAAACCCAAACCTACGATCATCATCCCCGGCTTGCCTCCTCGGTGGAATCCCCCTTCCGAGCCTCCCCAACTCAAGGAAGATTCAGGGGTCTTCTACCGAGATCGTAATGCCAGTCGCTTGCCTTTGCACCCGATGGAGCCAGCCATCGAGTCCATCCTTCTTACACGGCCATCTTTCGCCGCCGTCTCGTCGACGCCCATCGACATCGTCGCGTGCGGCAGCACCCTGGGCAACCTCCTCCGCTTTACGAGTGGTGATGATAAGGCGTTTCGCATGCTTGTCAACGTCGTGGGTTCCACCGTTCACTTGATCCGCCGTGAAAATTCACCCAAAGAGACCATTGACGGCATACGTGGGTACGGACATACGTTTCCTGATGCGTACACAACCCTGGACCGCGAGGCTCGAGGCTCGGCATCGCACCAGCGGATACTGGGCTACTGTTTCGGCGGTCTGCGCTGTCTCGTACGACACGAAGGCGACGGTTACCTGTCCGCGCTCGCAGGCGAAGCCGTAGCCACAAGGGCCGGGCCAGCCAGCCTGGCTGCCGAGGAGTCGACAACAGTCCCCTCAGGGCACTCGCCCGTGGAGGACTTAGCTGCGAGCCTCTCAACAGAAGCCATCTCACCCGCCATTCCCGTAGATGGACCCCTGACCGTCAAACAAGCCGGCCGGGCCATCCCCCAAAGGGCACTGTTTGATCTCAAAACTCGTTCCGTCAAGAGCATCGATGTGGACCATCTCGCTAAAGAGCTGCCCCGCCTCTACCTGTCCCAGACGCCGAATTTCATCCTTGCACACCACAGGAGTGGTGTCTTCAAGAAGGTGACCATTTTCGACGTCCGTTCTCGCCTTTCCGAGTGGGAGGCTGCGTCTGCAGAGCCTTTGGGACTCCTTGCCGTGCTGCTGCGTCGGGTGCTCGTCCTCGCCCGCGAGAGACACGATGGGAGACTCGAGCTCACGCGCGGCGAAGGAGAAACGGCCATACACGTGAGGGAACAGACGCCTGGGCTGCCGGGCGTGCTGTCCTCTGGTTGCGAGGCGCGATGGAAGGCCTGGTTGGCCGGCGACGGCGATGACAGCGGAATCGAGAAAAAAGACAACGCTCACGGGCCGGATGATGAGGGGGTTGAATTAAGCTGGGTTGAGAATGACGACGACTTCACTGCATGCACAGAGAGTTGTGGATACTGCGGTTATTGTACCTATTAGGGTTGTGAGAGGTTGCTCGGCGTGACATGCCTGGCACACGGTTTCGATATTGGCATGCCGAGCGTGTTGCAGCTGAATCGGATCGCTGATAGGACGGTCTATGTTCAATGGCAATCGAAGATAGGTGCTCTCATCGAAGACCCTCGTTCTTTGTGTGGTCGTGTACTCAGGCTGCTGCGTGCTGTAGCTGATGTGATGGTCAGTCCAGATCGTTACTGTCTTGGGTGGCACCTGGAATACGGCATCGGAGGTGCTTTGGCAGGCAGCTCTCGTACAGCTGACGAAGTGACTCAACTGGGTGGATAACGATGCCTTCGAATGGGATTCGAGAAATGCCATCGGCCGCTTCCGGGGGTGTAGTCGATCAAGCTTGATCAACTTGTTTCCTCGTCCAGCATGATTCAAAAACTGCTGAGCACCATGCCGCTGTTCAGTCGGAAGAGGCGTCGTGCCCTCACCATGTTGAGCATACTGGCCGTTCCCTCCTCTCCAGACAAGACCAGATTTGCCTCATGCCGCCGCTCCTGCAAACTGTCCGCGAACCACTGGCTTCGAGTGTGCGGCAACCAGCTCTCCTTGGGTAGTCCATGACTTGGTGAGTCTGGGTGTCCGCCTTGGCGGCGACGTATCTCGGTCAGAAGCTATCGCTATCAATCCGCATCGGCGCGCGTCCGCCATGCCCAGGCTTGAGACCTCCGCGGTATCGCAGCTCGAGAGAACATGGGTGCAACGGGTGATAGCCCTCCAGGCTCTCAGCCTCAGACGTTTTCGGCCCCATTGGCTGGCTTGCGCACAGGAGTGTTGGCCAACGTCGTCGAAGGCCGAGCATTGGGTCTTGCGGGCGCAGGCGCCTGAAAGTCTGTTCTCGTGCGGTAGAAACATGAAGAACGCTGGACTGTGGCATTTCGCACTCTCTCCAGGCCCATTAGGAGACATGCTTGAGGGCTAGCATTGGAACGGGACAAATAGAGCCGGTGGATCAAACTTGGTTGGTATTGGGGGCGTGAGAGGGATTGCTGGGCGGAAGACAAGTTGTGGCGAAAGTAGTGGGTCGTGTTTTGCCGTCCCGACTAGAATTACACTATGCGGTCTCCCACATCAGTGCCATGATACAGACTTGTGCGACTAAATGACAGCGGTGACCAAGAACTGATATGAACAGGTCGCACGTCGAATCAGCCATACGGCACCCGCATCACTATATGATTCACGTCCGCATCAGCTTGCCATCTTCGTCAAGCCAAAGACCGCTGGCGACAGCCTCTGGCTAGTGTAAAGAAAATCAGGTAAACAAAACCAGACTGCCGTCGAGGCATTCCCGTCGAGGCGTTCCTTCGGCTGAAGCGAGATCAACCTTGAGGGATACAACAACGGTCCTACAAACGCTAAATCGGGTCATCACCATGCAGACCAAGCACACCCCGTCCGATAACGCCATAGCAGTTCGTGCTGCTCCAAATATCGCTGCGCTCAACGCTCGCGCGAGTGCATGTCTCCCGTGTTGCCTTCGTGCCACTCCACCCCGTGTCCTTGTGAGGCCCGTCTACCCACGGACCCTGTCTCCGTAAACCTTTCATTGCCTCTTAATCCGGGTATCTCTGTCTGTAAAGTCTGCTCCCTCTGAAGGGGGCTTCATCGCGCAAGTCGCCGTAAAGACTAAGCATTTCGCATAAAATCGTACATCATGTCGCTCCTCGTCCAGTCTGCTAGGCATTGATGCGCACCGGTCAAGGAGCAGGTCCAGTCTGAGAGCCACTTCCGCTGCCGTAGTTGTGAGGGCTGGTCAACGAGGCGGTGCTTGCCCCCGGGGGTGACGCCTGCCGACCAGTCGAATCGCTCTGCCCGGCATTGGTGCCCTGGGGCGAAATCATCGTTGCGGGGAGTGAAGATGAAGCCGAGCTGAGACCTGCGGAATCGTATCCAGAAACGGCCGTTGGCTGCGATGGTCTCGAGTGGGCAACCGCATTCATGATGTGCTGAAACGTCGCCGGATTGGCTTGGTTGTGCGGAGGGAGTTGGTAGCTGGGCGGTGGGGTCGGCATGTTGGCAGATGGCACGGGATGACTGGGGGGAGCCGGAGGAACGCCAGCAGCAGCGTTGCTATTGACCAGGTTTTGCGCGTTCATCGTCGGAGGCTGGTTATCCGCCCCCATCTCGTTGCCGTCGGCATCCAAGACCTCTTCTTCTTCAGTACCTTCACGCTCTTGCTCGTCAATCTCGCCGTAGGGACCCTCGATACCAAGTAATGTGGAGCTGCCACCGACGTTGGGCCTCATCAGGGAATTGGAATGAGAGTCTGCCATGCGGGAGGCCGACGGCGCGTGGCTGCGCTGGAACCGAAGGGGCCACTCTCTCAACGATGCGTATTCATCATCCGTGTTGACGTAGTCGCGGAGGCGAGAAACGCCAGCGCCCGAGAAGACGCAGAAGACGCCACGCTGATGTTCAGTAAATTCTGAAAGAGCCAAAAAATGTCAGCAAACTGATTGACAAGTATGACGGTAAAAAAACGTACCTGACGGTGGAGGTCGGCAGAATTTACTGAATTCCTCTCTCAAGAAAGCGGTGACGCCCGTCAGACTAAGGTGGGTAAGTCGAGGGCAGTAGTTGAGTAGCTTAATAATGCTCTGCAAACTGTCAGTACAGGTATCGTTCTTTTAGGTTGTCCCATATCAACTCACTTTGAGGGTAAGGTTGGTGCAATAGCTGAGGTGCACACGCTCCAGGCTGGACGCGTAGTACTCTTCGCCGATGACAGCACCATAGGCGTCGCGGCGAGCCCGGGGGCGGTGGTTAGCGCGGGCAAGCGCGAATACGGACTCATCTGTGATACTACTGCACTTGACGAGACCGATACGCTTGAGCTTGGGCAACTGGGCGAGGCGAACGACGGAATCATCGGTCAGAAGCGTGCAGCATCCGAGATCGATATATCGTATCCTATTGCAGTGCGCCACGAGGGTTTTTACTGCCTCGTCTGTGATGTGGCCGCAGTGACCCAGGTGCAGATAATGCAAGTTCTTACCCAGCTTTGCGATGGCATGTACGGCGACATCGGTGATGTTGCGGCACTTGGCCAGGACCAGATTACGAAGACGAGGCGCGGCTTCGATGATCTTGCTTACGGCGGCATCAGTCAGGCGAGCGCACGAAGTCAGATCTAGGATGCGCAAGTGATCATATGTCTTGCCGAGGGGCAGGTTCAGGAAGGCCTGATCATCAATCAGATCACAGCCAGCCAGGCGCAGCTCGCGGAGGGACTGGCCCTTGGCGACCAACGCAGTGATGGGCTCATTTTGGATTTGGTTGCACTGGTGAAGGTCGATCTCGAGGATGTTAGGGCAGTTTTCGGCGAATGCTTGGATCGCGACATCCTGCAGCTGGGCGCACTCGTTGAGTTTAAGCTGTGAAACACAGAGATTAGCGTCCGTCTCGGGCGGGGAAGCGATGAATGGGCAGAGGAGGGTAGGCTTACTCTCTTGATGTATCTGCAGCTCTCTGCCAGAGCGATCATGCTCTCGTTCGTGATGTGACGGCAGCCGGAAATATTAAGGCCCTGAAGTCGCTTGCAGTACTGAGCGATGGTTCGAATAGAGGCATCCGTGATGTTCTCGTCCCCCGAAACATCTAAAGCCAGGAGAGCCGTGGCGTTCTCAACGAGAGGCACAAGGCCTTGGTCGGTCAGGTTGCGGCAGTTCGTCAGCGTGAGGCGCTCGATGCGGCTGCAGACGGAGAGCGGAATGACGCTGCCATCGTTGATCTTATCAGCGAGACCGCTGGCAGCAAGGTTCAGCCGCTTGATAAAGTCGCGGTATGCGAAGAATGGGTTCTTCAGCTGCAGGGTCTGGCAGATGGACGAGTGGTTCCTCCAGTTGGTGCAAGCGGGGCGATGCCACAATAGATCGACAGCATTTTTGGCCCAACGCTTGCTGACCAGCATACAATGAAATAGGTCGGATGTGGTGTTCAGCTTGGCAAAGACGCTGATGATGATCTCGTTGGGCAGCAGGGCTATGCCAGTGAGACACTCGTCATCCACGTCGCTGACCTGCATGTCCTCGATATTTGGTACGCCGAGGGAGGATACAGAATCGTTTCCGCCATGGAAAAAGTCGGATTCTTCGTTATCAGCCGGAGCAGGCGAGTTTGTCGATGAAGAAGATCGAGAGTCTTCTGGGTGGAGGGGCGCGCCACCGCTGCCCGACGACTGGGCGGCTATCATATCGAGGGATGGAGCCGATGGCCGCATGATGGGCAAACTCGGGTGGCGGCAATCAAATGCCAGCCAGACTCGACAAGTGATCCGAAAGCCGGAGAAAAAAGGACGTCCTGGTGAGGATAACGCGCCAAGAAGATGTCGAGGTTGTGGATGGTTCGGGGCTGTCGGTGTCCAGACGAGGCAAGGTGAGGGGGAATCGAGAAATCGGTATTTGTCGTCAGGGATAGCTGCACGTACGAAGCAGCGGGCGCGAGGTTGGTTATCTCTCGGTGCTTTTGGATTATCGGTGGTCAGAGGCGTCGGGACCAGAAGCTTCTGAGCTCTCTGTTCAGAAAGAAGATGAGTCGTACGGGAGAGATCGTGGGTTGGGCTGTGTGGTGTTGCCAGGAAGAGGGACGGCAGGCGAAACCTGGCGGAGTCAGTGGGTAAACGCCCGGGCGACACACGTGGGGCTCTCCTCAGCCTCGCGTCCACTAATAGGTGGTACGTACACTATGTGCTCTTTGTTGATCTCCTGAGGTGCGGGCTGGAACGCAGTGAATCACAATCAGTGGTGCCCTTAGTGCAGATGCATCTGGCTTGGCCAGGAGAAGAGGGCCACGGTCCTCGGAGAGCGAATTACATGGCTACGGATTTTCTGATAATTGTTCTCATTTTCACTCCTTCCTCTCGCGAAAGATGTGGATGATACGATCGGTACCAAGTTCCGGGGCCAGCGAGTAAGTGCAGTCTAGATTTCAACGAGAAGTACACATTGACGAGTCGGTAAAGGCAAGGGACT